CTTTACAGGCATAGGAGTGGTTTCTTCTTAAAAATAAGAGAATAAAATACATAAATTTAGTTACTTTTTTGTAAATTTGTAAATTTTGAATTATTAAAATACATTTTAAATTATTAGTTAAAAATAACAACTTTAAAAGGTCAAAGGATTTAAATGAGATATAAGAACAACTCCTTTTCAACAAAGATATTACTATACTGTAGTTAAACATTCTCATAAGAGCAATCAATGAAGAGATACCTATTTGGCTGCAGTCCACCTTTTCATACAGTCTTCTACAATCACTTTTACACCCATCAAAATATGGAATTATCTGAAAAACAAAGCAGAGCATATTATTATTTAAAATGTACTGAACAGGGACTAGTGAGCAGGAAGGGCAAACTCTCACTGGTCGTGAGACCAGCGGTTTCCAGCAACATGGCAACTACATAGTACTTTCACGTTATACCAAGTTCACATTTTGTGCTTCATTCAAAACTTAATCAAATTTTTCAATACTGTCAATCAATTATTTTGCTACTGAGATTTAATAACCGGTCTGAGAAATTGAGACTGAGGTCCTGGCTACCTGATCATGAAAAGTCCCATGGCACAGCTTGCAAGAGTAGGAGTGGATAAATGACCTCTCTACAATCCTCCCTTAATTCAGTTGGTTAGGTAATTTCTAATTTCTCCACCTCACTGTGTAGAGGGGCTTCTGGCACAGAGTTGCTGGCAGTCTTTGCCCACGCGGGTCCCCTTCTGTACAGAATGTGAAGCCCTTTGGGATCTTTTGGGATGAAAAGAGCTATAGGATTGCAGGGCCCTATTATTGTCATAGACCAGCCGAAATTCAGTATTTTCCTCAAAGCTTTTTTTTTTACCTCAATGAGCATGGATTTACAATCTTCACTTGCAGTTATTCTTGTAGATATTCTGGAATCATTCTCCTGCATGAATGATATACACATCATTAAAACATGAAACACTACTAACCACAATGTAATTGTGCAGAACAAGGGTGTATTTGCACAAGACAATTTAACTATAAGCATTATAAATTACAAGCTGCCCCAAGAAGGCTCCACAGCTGAAACGTGTTTCTTCTCTGTTCAGCATGGAATAAACCTTTACTTGTTCCTTTGCATCCTACGCAGTTACATACTGTACTTGAACTAAATTGTAAGCATTTACCTGGTATGTATTTGCAGTAATATCAACAACACATTATTTGTTATTAAATTTGCACAGTATTTAGCTTTGTAAAATTAGATATGGGTTGCTTTATTTAAAAAACATAATTACTTACCACAGAAATATCATATTCATCAATAAGTAAACAGCAATATGGGACATTTTCCAAACAGTCTTTGCAGTTAAGTGAAGCAATGGAGTATGTTTTGGAAAGTCTACTGGGTATAAAGGACATCTCAATTTGACCATATCTTATGATGGCATGAATATCTGGTTCCCACGTGGATCCTATAAGCACAAACCCAATTACAATGCTATATATAGTGCTGATAATTATACTTTTAAATTACCTATATTCATAATATGATTTGTTCATATACCTAATATTAATCTTGTCTGCTTTACAGAACAAGCTACCAAACTTTAACAGTAACGTATAACAGAAGTACATTCCCAATGATCTACAATAAAGTTGTACTTGATCAGCAATTACAACAATGTAGTGAAATAAAAAGATTCAGTAACAAAACCTTACCTCTCTCAACACAATATCTGTGGTGTTTCATTCTTTCATCATTGCAGCCTGAGAGGTACAAGATATAGGCAGCAGTGAAAACCTTTAATGGAAAACTGCATTGATTTCTACCTTATACTTTACACTTTGGAATGTCTAAGGAAATATACAGTTTGTGTGCCTTATTTCTGGCCAATTGCTACATATTATGTAACAAACAAAAGACTTTGAAAACCGTGTGCAGAGACGCTGCAATATTTTTCACCTATCTTCAGTTCCAAATGTACATCCCTGAACCTTTTTTTAAAAATGATGGTGATTTCTCTGAAAGTTTTTTTTTCTTATTGTTGTGATATTTTAGAATACCTAAACAGTGACAGGGGACAAAACCGATGGCTTTTCACTCTGATCCCTGGATCACTAATATGCACCCCTGAACAGTGAGTCGCCACCTGTTCAGAAATGTTGTCTCTAAAATGTGACAGCAGCCAAAGTTATCTTCCTTATGCAGAAGGAAAACCGTACAGCTAGGGAGGGAATTGCATATTGCCTGCTAAATCATGCATATAGTACTTTATATACAGTAGTTGAACTATAGCTTAAATTGCGGAAAAGACTACACTTCATATACATTATAATAATTGGATATCCAGAAAACACATTTACTTTTTATATAGGTAACACGCACTCCAGTTTAACTTCTTAAAAAGTGAACACACAAGCCTGCCATCTCCCTTAGACTTCAATGTCAGTAGTATATTACAAAAGAGGGACTCATCTGGAAAAGGACAGAGAGACATCGGTGCATCCCTAAGGATTACAGCAAAGAACAAACTATTTTCTTTCCCTGCCAACATGTCTTGCCTGTACCGCAGTGTTTCCAAAATGATTTTGTATCAACTCTTCCTAGATAGTTTAAGACATTTTTTGCACTATAGTCTGCATAAGTAAGTCTGCATAGCTGTACAGTACATAGTTCATTAATAATAAAACCTACTTGGTGTTTTAATTCTTCTGTGTTTTTTAGGTTCTTCTCCTTTAATGTTTGGTGGAGGAATGTTAAGAGCAGATACCAAATATTCGCTTTCAGGCTTAGCAATGTAATCAGTGAAGTGGAACCACCACTGTAAAGAGAGAAAAACATCATTTTGCTTTAAATATATTCCCCTTTAATTCTATTGATGCATATTCTACAAAAGTCAGGCATTTCTCTTTCTCTTTTTTCATTCCAAAAGTACAAATAAAAAGCCTCATCCTTTGCAGTTTCCAGAGTGGAACCTCTAAGAAAAATACTGCAATATATAGTATATTTCTAAAAGTGTGTGGGTTTTCTGCTATCTAAACATCTTATTTTAACACAATTCTCAATTCAGGAAGGAGTATATGAATCTAAACATTTTAACTTTATTAGATTGAATAAACCAGATCCTGCCAGCTGTCAGGAATGACTAAAGGATACTTCATACTTACTACACCCAGTAGGATAGGGCTTGCCTGACCAGTCGCTACACTATATCTGCTCAGTGGGGCTTGCTATGCCAATACTCTGTTCTAAAGTATGAAAGAAACCCCGATGCCTACTCAAGAACTGCATATAAAAGCATTTAAAAATAGTTGGTCAATACCTGATCTTGAGAGGAACATTCATTAAAAGGATGTAAATAATTACATCTAAATTGTTTCCCATTTATATTGATGATAGTTGCTTTAAGAAACTGAAGGCTTCCTGAAAAATAAAAATACACATATACAGTCTTTTTTTTTTGTTATTGCTGTTGTATTGTTACAACTTTGGCATTTTCTCCTCTGATTGAAACATCCCTTATACACAAACATAAGAAATTAAAACAGATGAAGCATCATGGTGCTTGATTACAAACTTTATGGGATGTTAATGACTGCTAATGAGCTAATACACACTGTCCCAAAAGAATAAGTGATTACATATCACCCCAATAATTCTAGTGTTTCACGTATTGCATGTACAGCAACCAATCATCTTTTGCAGTAAAATGTGTTTGAGCACAATGTGCCACAACTTCCCTGAAGTGCTACAGTACTGTATGTGCAAAGTGTAACCTCAAGGTATTAAGTGGAATGTGCAGAAGCTTTGCAGCACAAAGGGAACAACAGTAAGCCAAGCAACAAAGCCTTTGTCCTGAACACAGGATACCACAATTGTCCCATATTAACAGCCAAACAAACTGTTGTAACATACGTTAAATGTCCCAGAAACCTCATCAACACACTTCTTTGATGTTCAGTGACAATCATCACATCAATGATAACATACGGGTAGGACACCCACAATTCCTAATGACACCAGCGCAGGACAAATGGATTAGAGTCTGGCACTTCGGATTGAAACTTAGTAACCAGAATGCTGCCTAACAACCAAAGAACTAGGCCACCAACAGTCAAAGCATTACATGGACACTGTGACTGACTGACTTTGTGTATCCTTCTATGTCCCTTTGTGGCTTTATCTGATAGGGGTGTGGACACAGTTTAACTTGATTTATTTGATGCTGATATCTCATTACTGTTATTGAACACCCACTTAGACTTGCTGCTGTTCCTCATGGGTTGCAAAGCACCACTTTTCTGTATTCAGTTATGGCACAAAGAACACTTCTATCAAACAGCAAAATCACTAAGACAGAAGCATGAGAGTGGCATACCATCTGTACTCACGGACCAGCTGATGTTCAAAGATGGCCCTGTGGATTTGGGTAAATGCTCATTCTGAAACACTGTGACAGTTAGGTCCCGGAGATCAGAGGGGGTGAGGGCATGTTCCTTTAACCATTCTGCAGGTGGAGTGCCATCTTTAATGAATTAAAATTCTCATTAAAATTGCAGACGGAGCAGAGAAATGCATTGTTTTGTTGAGTACACGTAATTTTCTTTGCGTTATACCAGTCATTGCTGCAAACCTGCTGATATAATTGAATCTCATTGAACATTCTAGTCATTTCTCAGTTCTCATAGTCTGGTATTAGACGTGATAGTACATTCATCAATGTCTATGGAAGAGAGTCCAGCAAACTTGTCAGCTTGGTTAGGCTGGGGTGTGCTCACCTACCATGGTTGAGGGGATAATGATAATTAATAATTCCTCACACTTATACAGCACTCCACCCAAAGCGCTTTACAGGTAATGGGGCTCCCCTCCACCATCACCAACGTGTAACCCCACCTGGGTGATGTGATTGCAGCCAGATTGCACCAATACACTCACCACCCACCAGCTCTCAGTGGGGAGGAGAGCAGAGTGATGAAGTTAGTTCATATGTGGGGATTATTAGGAGGCCATGACTGGTAAAGGCTGGGGGGAAATTTGGCCAGGACGCAGAGGGCAACGCCTTTTTAAAGTATAGTGTCCACACCACTATACTGGGGCATTAGGACCCAGTATAGTGTGAGCACCCCCTACTGGCCCCACTAACACCTCTTCCAGCAGCAAACTTAGGTTTTCCAGGAGTCTCCCATCGAAGTACTAGCCAGGCTCACACCTGCTGAGCTCCAGCAGGTTGCCAGTTGTGAGTTGCAGGGTGATAGGGCTGCTGGCTGATAGGGTGATATGACATGCCGTTGGCTCTTGACAAACAAACAACCAGCCCTCCTCTATTAACTGGAGGTACCCAAGGGGTTTTGAATAGCAGACAGGGAGCAATTTCAATAAAAAAAACAAAGAGTTTGGAATTGGGGTTGTGAAGGAACCACAAGAAATGCGCTCCGGAGAACAATTGCACTACACATTAAATTCCTATTTTTGGTGAACCAAGGTCAATGAGTTATTTAAGCTCTGATAGTGACTAGAGGGGGGAAAGACTGAACCTTTTTTAGCTGAAGGAATACTCGAAGCCCAGTCCATCAGTTTTGAACCCGTTTTGTTTGGGGTGCAACTTCTTCATTAAGGGTCGTATTTTGATTACCACTCGTGAGAGTTAGATGTCTTGTGGAAGAGTTCAGCTTTTATGAGGGCAATCTTAACATCCCCATTTTTTCCAATTCAGAACCTTAAAGTGATCCACTCAAACTGAGAATCGCACTGTGCGTTTTGATTCAGCAGTGTTTGCACGCTGAACGATCTAATACAGTATAGTGTAAAAAACAGTGTGGTATGTGTAGGTCTTGTATTTCGTAAAACAATTTGTGTTATTGTAAATAATTATGAATTTGAATCTGTATCCCGTTTATTACGCTGTTATTGAATTATGAAGGAAATCAATAAATCACATGGTTATAATCATTCCTCATCATAGAGGACGTTTTATGTTGTAAATATATTGTCAGTTATGACCCTTTAACGTTTATAAAACACACCCTTATTTGTTACAATAGTATCGTATTGATCATTGAGACTGTCTTTAATATTTCCTGCTGATCAGAATTTGTATAGTTAACCTCAGTGTAACATTATATTTTCAAGTTTTTTTTTTACAATTAACGTTTAAGAAAGGCAAAATCATACTGTATATCATTGCGTACAGAGACGGGATGTCATACAAATGAAACAAAAAGGTTATAAATGTCAACTTCATGTGCAGAATGAAGTTTAGTCAATTTTAAATTAATTTTAATTTTAAAGCAGAAGACCTGGCAGGACCGTTTTAGAGAGGATATGTCTTAATAAAAGTAAATCAGTTGATCGGTGTACGGTACTTACGGTCTTGTTCTACACATTTCACGCCCTGTAACAGATTCAGAAAAATAACTGAAACGTTAGTCCAACTGTTTTTATAAGTCCGCTAACATATATAGTACCTGATCAGAATAATAAAACACACACACACACAAGAAACAACAACATAAAAACAGCAAATGATTCAATAACAAACAAAAAAAAGCCAAAGTAAACCAATAACATTGATCAAAACTGCTTACCTGCTGGGGAAGCCTAGTCACTTCTGCTGATAGCAATTGAAGTAATGAATAAATTGTTAAATGCTTCAGTGTTCCTGTCATCTTCTTACTCAGCTCTAACCTGCTATGAAAATTGCGCTCCGGGAGCGCAGGTTATATTTTCATGTGCGGCCGGAAACAGTGACTCAGATAGTCTGCTTTTGCGGGGTTATATTATTCGTAGTTTAAATATCTGATAGCAAGACGCGCGTGTTCTCCAGAGTGGTCACACTTTCTTTTTCCTCTACCCCAACTAAGCCACAAAATATAAAGAGGTTTTCACAAACTGTTTGGCAAAGTTCAGAGGATACATTTTTTTTTGTATGAAGTTGTGAACCGACAACTAACGTCTACTACTGTACCAATTTAAGGGTTTGGAAATGTAAAATATTGCATTAATAATAGCCGCCTTGATAAACTACTCCGGGAAGCCTTGATAAAAACAAAACACTTTAGTAATGTGTACTTCAGGTTAAACATGGGAAATATAAAGTATAAAATACACTGTGGAAAACCACTGGAAAACGATGTAAAAATCTACATTAAACAAGAATAACGCGACAACTTAGAAGACTTGTGGCATTCTTTCTTAGAACAAACCCCTTTGTGTACAAGTGTGTAGTTAGAGCAGAAAACCTCTTCTGTTCCCAGCTACAGTATAGCACCTTCCACTGGTTTTAGAACCACTTCAAAGCATGACTATGAAGAAATATCACCGATATTAAACGTGGTCTAGACATACACGGTCACGAAATAAAATCTTCTGTGTCGCACAAATTCTTTTACTTCAGATTTCTGTCTGACAATTCAAGGTCAGACAGAAAATGGGAAAGGGGGGAATGTTTGACACAAAACAAAAAAATAAGGAATATGCGCCACGACAGGCAGAATGGTTTTAAAACTTCAGCACGTCCGACGTGATTAGACATTCCCTGCAACCACTTGGTCTACCCCCCACTTCTGGAGCACAGTGGATCTATTAATACTCTCCTTTCTATCATTGGAAAGTTGTAACAAACTCCGCCCTGCGGTGCCAGCTTCCCCATAGCGATCCCCGAGGCTACCTGAATTTTACATGGGCATTTTTCAGTCCGATCTTGTTTATTCTGCCGGGTAAGTTGTGTGGCCGGGTGTAACAGTTTCGAAATAAAACAAAATTATATCGAATCACTAGCAGGACCCAGTTTTGTTGAGCTCAACCACACGTACGTCCGTGGGAAAACAGGCCTTCAATTGTATTTACGAGTTCAGTGTGGGTTAGAGTCCACTGGAAATCACGCCATTAGAAACGGGACTGGGGGAGTGCGGGTGGGTAAAAGAGGGTCGTGGTTTAGAAACCGTCTCGAACTGTGACTATTGCAAAGGAAAACGTCCTTTACATTTTGTGCATTACTGATTAACACACCTGTAACCGGTTTTTATTGATTACCGCGCTATATAAAACCAGATTTGTCAAACCCGTTGAACATGCGTCCCGTATTAATCAGCTGAATACTCAAATATTATAAATGGCCTTCTGTGCCAGTGCATTTTAGAAGACAATGCCCGCTTTTCCAAACTGTAAATCCAGTTATCCCAAATCAAATAGCGTGAATTTGTGGGGCGGATAGGATTGTAGTGCAAACTGTTGGAATTTTACACTTTGAACTCTTCGTGTGTGGAAATTTCCCACTGGTGGGTCTGTATTATATAAAATATCTTTCAATAGTGTGACTGTTTCCATTCTGTATTTGCCCCCCCAGCCTGTTTGGAGAAACATTATTAACTGTACTGGGACAAAGTGATTCTGGTATATGGTGCATATCGGATCTAATGTACTGTAGCCCCCAGGAGAAGAGTAAAGTCTGACGGATTTCTGCAGAGCAATGCATTCCGCTGTCATTTCAAGGAGTGCCATGGCCATGAACAGAGCCAGGGTGTGGCAAAGGGTGCTTTCAACAGTGCCACAGCAGGAATACCACAACTACAGCACCTCAGCAGTGGGGAGGAAGAGCCAGGCTTTCAGCTATGTGGTGGTGGGAGCCGGCTCGGCGGGGTGCGTGCTGGCGAACAGGCTCTCTGAAAGCCAGGCCGACTCGGTGCTCCTTTTGGAGGCCGGCCCAAGCGATTTGTTCCTGAACAGCACGCGCTTGTCCTGGAAGATCCACATGCCCGCGGCTCTGATGTATAACCTCTGCGACGATCGGTATAACTGGTTCTATCACACCGCGCCCCAGTCGCGCATGAACAACCGGGTGATGTACTGGCCGAGGGGCCGAGTCTGGGGGGGCTCCTCGTCCCTGAACGCCATGGTGTACATCCGGGGCCACGCGGAAGATTACAATCACTGGCACCGGGAGGGGGCCACGGGCTGGGACTACGAGCACTGCCTTCCTTATTTCAAGAAGGCCCAGGCCCACGAGCTTGGGGGCAACCAGTACAGAGGAGCTCATGGACCACTGCACGTCTCTCGGGGCAGAACAAACCACCCACTGCACCACGCTTTCATAGAGGCAGGCCTGCAGGCCGGCTACCCCTTCACAGATGACATGAATGGCTATCAACAAGAGGGATTTGGCTGGATGGACATGACGATCCACAGAGGTATTTCGTTTTTTGGTTGTAGGGTCAGGGAGATCGGAGATTTCTGTGGACATGTGATCAGGTGCCTAATCATCTAACCTCTGCGTGCCTCTGTTCCAAGCCAAAAGGCAGTCCCGTTGCGAATGAAAAGTAAACAAGCACGCTGTTTTTGTTTGGAATTATTCTGAGCGGTTCTGAACTGAGTAAAAAGTGCACTTACTGAGACAATTCCATGCCCAGGTCAAAGATGGAGCACTGCTAGTGCCTACTTGCGCCCAGCCTTGGCACGACCAAACCTAAAGGCTGAGGTCAGGTGCCTGACCACCCAGGTGCTGTTCGAGGGGACAAAGGCTGTAGGAGTGGAATATATACAGAGGGGAGAGAAGAAGAGGGTAAGACCATTTCCTGTACACTTTTTGCAGCGCCCATGTGGTCGACAAATGATGTAATGAGCCATTTGCCTCATTGTGTTTGTGAAATGCATTCCTCACAGCTGCTGTCTTGCCACTGATCACACCCATTAAGGATTCTGTTTCATTCCTCAGAAGCAATTACTGTTGCAGTTCCTGCACATGTCCCGACAGATATCTGCTGTGGATGCCAAACACTGACTGCCAAACTGTTTTATCTTGTAAAACGATATCACTTGTATGAAGTGTACCTTTGGTTTAAGATAATATAGTGGCCAGATAAAGGGGGGTGGTTTGTAAAATTCAGTTGCTGAATTTAGAGACTGCGTCTGGATATTTAAATCACAATGCCAGTGGTCATCTTGAAAGCTGTGGCATCTCTAAGCAATTGCGTTAAATGAGGATTGTGTCCTGATTCATCTCCCTTCTTCAGAAGTTCTTTTAGGTCATGACGCAATGTCTGTGTCAGTGCTGTAATTTATTTAATCTACATACAGTATAGTACAGTGTAATAATTTATCACCTCTGTTAACACAACATAGAACACTTTAAGACATAATCTACTCTAAATCTTGTAATAATTTCTTGTATATTCACGTTGGCGACAAAGTTTTAGTTGTCAAGATGACCACATTTCAATCAATGTTAGACTAATGTTAGTTTGTCTTACATTACATATTTCCATGTACAGATTTAACACGCTTTGTGAATACATTTGCAGAAGTGCATTCAGATATACCGTGTAGTACGACATATGGCATATTTAAAAAACATTCATATCAGAATATTATTCATCCTTTTCAAGTTGCTGCAGGAGTACATAAAGAGAAATAAGTTCCAGGTTGAGGTCTGTGATACAGGTGTCCACTAACTGGATTCTTAACTTACATTCAGAACATGCATGGTCACTTGCTTTATTAAGCGCCTTGGGGGAACCTTGTTGTTAAAGGCGCTATATAAAAATAAACTGAATTGAATGAATTAACTCAATTCAATTGAAATTTTCATTAATTCTTTAGTCCCTCTCCATGGTTGGCACAGGGCATTATTTGAGCAAGCGGTGATTGCCAAACTGCATAAAACTGTTTGATCTTTTTCCTGTACGTACATGTGTATTTGGCGGTAGACCAAGACAGACTTTGGCAGTCTTTATGCTTTGTCTTCTGGTTCAGGCCTATGCAGACAAGGAAGTTATTCTGTGCGGAGGGGCTATCAATTCTCCTCAGCTGCTCATGCTCTCTGGAATTGGAAATGCAGATGACCTAAAAAAACTGGGCATTCCTGTGGTGGTCCATCTTCCAGGTTACAATTCTTCTTGTCCTCCTACTTCTCCTTCTCCCCTTCCAGGGGTTTTTAAGTTTGACAGTTGATCTATTTTCTCCTGGCAGCAGTTGTTTCGTTGTCCAATCCGCATGGTGTTACTGCTGGAGCCTTGGCTTCACTCAGCAAGAGTGTTTGTGATCTGTGTGGGAAGCCTGGACATCTTTTCTGTATTTCAAAATACGCAGTTTTTGTTAAAAGAATTGTATCAACATTTTCCCTTAGGCGTTGGAAATAATCTTCAAGATCATCTTGAAGTTTACGTGCAGCAGGAGTGCACTCAACCCATAACTCTCTATAAGGCACAGAAGTCAGTCCACATGGTGAAGATTGGCCTGGAATGGCTGTTGAAATTCACAGGTACTGTTGTTGGCCAGCTTAACTGAAATTATGTCGGACATCCAAATACTTTTTGATTTTTCTTTTCCTTAACGGTGTTTTCCCCTGTCCTGTGGTCGTTAAAATCATAAGTATCAAAATTCTTAACCTTGATATGCATGATCGACAGCTTGATGTTCTCCAACAGCCTATGTAGTTTCATAAATATAACATTCATCGGATATTTTCTTTGTTTTGAGGGGGAGGGTTGAAGCTACAGTCGTATGTATTTCCATCTAAGCATTACAGATGAGTATCTGCTGCTTCAATGGAATATTTTTCTGCTGAATCCATTCTGCCTCTTTCCTAGCTGCTGAGAAAACCTGTTAATTGCATCTCCCTAGGGTACGGTGCTACTGCCCACTTAGAGAGTGGGGGCTTCATCAGAAGTCGTCCAGGTGTGACCCACCCAGACATTCAGTTTCACTTCCTGCCATCACAAGTCATAGATCATGGAAGGATAAGCTCCAAAATAGAAGCCTATCAAGTGAGTACACTTACAGAGGTCTGCATCTGAGAGTGGAGAGAAAGGGTCATTTTCACAGTGCTGCTGCTGTGCATTACAAGAAAGCCACTGACAACATGCAAGTGTTGTTTTAACATTCGGTAAAGAATGAGTAAAGAAAAGAAGCAACATCTCGTCTAGATCCTACAAGTGTGCGGAACTCTACTGACAGCGTGCAAAACAATGCCGCCTTGGAGAAATTAGAAAAAAATGATTATTTTTTCTTTTCTAATAATTTTACCTCACTGAAAGGTTAGATTTCTTTCATATTTTCAGTGTAAGATCAAGCTGATAAACAACAAAGACATTTTTTCATAGCCCCAAAGGTGCCAATAACTCTGGAGGGCACTGTATTCTTTCACTGGGGTCATCTCTTTCACAAATACTGCACAAATACTTTTCACAGTGGTACTGTCAATATTCCAAATTCACCCATCAGCTCCTCATTTTACTAAAGGGATGTGTTCCTCAGTACTAACAATCCAGTACAGATCCAGTTTGTTAAGTGAATAATTAAATAAATTAACTTTAAATAAAGGCAATGGTAAGAGATTTGATTTGATCTGACACACAGTTAAAAAGGTGGATGTATACGGTTTGATAATTGCAGTTTTATGCTGACATTTAACTTCTTTTTACCATAAAAATGTTTAGTATAATCACAGACAAACCTTTTACGTTGTGATTAATTTCAGTTTAAAAAATGTGTATATATCATTTACAGTTCATCACTGGAAAGAGGTGTATACTTTTGAAAGGCAGTGTATGTAAAAAAATATTGCATTCCTTTCTTTCACATTGAAAGTATAACAGTTCTCTAACCTACCATGTGAACTTGTAGTGATAAGTTGTCTTGCGACAACACGAGGTGTTCTTTCGAAATATAAATACCAAATAAACCCATTCAAATATTTCTTTGTAAATATTTCTAAACCAGGAAACACCTGTTGATTTCATAATAGGCCTGTGCTAAACTTAGACTTCCAAGTTATCTTGAAAATAAGCTGGAAATATTTGAGCAGAACAATACAGTGAATTCATTTTTCCTGGAACTACATTTGGTAAGTAAAATCAGATGTCTTCCTGAGCATAAATTACAATGAAGATGATATTTATCTTGCCCCACCTCTGAAAGCGCATACCAGATGTCCCTAAGACAATAGTCACCTGTGAAACTAAATGCCAAATAAGGTTTATCTTTTATAGGGGCCCTGCAGTCCCATTTTCTCAGACCAGTTATTAAATCTCGATAACAAAATAAATTAAATGTACAAATTTACACATTTGGAATTAAGCACAAAATCATGAACTTTGCGAATGTACTGTATGGTTGCCATTTTGCTGCAAATCCCTCGTCTGGTCACGGTCGAGACCCAGAGTTCGCACAAATTGTGGTTTAAAATCGTCCTTTCCTGCTCACTAGTCACTGTGATGACTAATGCAATGTATGAGTGATTAAGTACAGGATGTGCTTTAGTTGACATTTAATCGCAGAAATGCTCCAACGCGATCTGCAGGCCAAGTTAATAAGCAAGTTGTACTGTATTTGTTCGCAAAAGCGTCTTGAAGCCGAGAGCAATATTACTATTAAAAGAGCTGTACTCACAAGCCTGCTTGTTTACAGTGTAACAGGGTCACTTCACCTCACCAGAAGTTTGCTTGCCTCATTCTGAATCACAGACATTGATGACAATATGGCACTGTGCATACCAGGAAATGTTAGCTATTTTGTAGAGCTTTTACTGTACATTTTAATTTCATTGCGGTTCAAAATGCACTTATCAATGCCGATTCTTTCTAACCCTAAAATATGAAAATGGCCTTGCAGTTCCTCTTTAATAGCTTTGAAGTGTGTCGAATAAACCTTATTTTTTTGCCCATACCAGGGTAGTATTGTATAATGTGGAACTTTAAACACTTTGTTCATGTTCATCGGTAAGATCTGTGAATTCAAGCACACGGTTTCTGTCGAAGTCTTCCTGCAGGATAACAGTATCACTATAACTGCAGGTTCACGTTGGACCAATGAGAAGCACCAGCAGAGGCTGGATAAAACTCAAGAGTGCCAATCCCCAGGATCACCCTATCATTGAGCCAAACTACTTGTCCACAGGTATAGTCTTATGATGATCATTATTATTCTCTTTTCTGGACACTCGACCCCATGATTCGTAAAGGCCATGGGGAAATTTCGCCAGGACACTGAGACAACACTACTAGTCTTTTCAAGAAACAGACTGGAATTTTTAACGGGTGTGTGTGTGCACTATTATTATTTTTCAACTGAACGATGGCACAACAAATGCAGTTTACAATTCTTATTTGATATAAAAGTATATAACCATCCGATAAAAGCATATAAGACTACAAGAACAGAAATACTTAAAACAAATGTGTGGAATTTTCAGCGCTATCTTGTAAACCCATTATAGTTCACGGGCGTGGAGCAGGGAAAAGGTTTTGATTTGGGCGTATTCATTGCCTCGCACAGATGTTGACGTGATGGAGTTCAGGCAGTGCGTTAAGCTCTCCAGGGAGCTTTTCGCCCAGAAGGCCTTCGACGAGTTCCGCGGCCGCGAGCTGCAGCCGGGGAGCCACGTCCACTCGGACGAGGAGATCGACGCCTTCGTGAGGGAGAAAGCCGACAGCGCCTACCACCCCTCCTGCACCTGCAAGATGGGGCGGCCCTCGGACCCCATGGCTGTGGTGGACCCCGAGGCCCGGGTGATAGGGGTGGAGAAGCTCCGGGTGGTGGACGCCTCCATCATGCCGAGCATGGTCAGCGGGAACCTCAACGCTCCCACCATCATGATCGCCGAAAAAGCAGCCGACGGCATCCTGGGGCGCCCCCCCCTCAGGGAGGGAGACGTCCCGGTATACAAACCCCCCACTCTCGAATCCCAGAGGTAAACACGCCTCTGCAAAAGATTAACCATCAGACCTGCCGATTTTTTAATGATCACTTTATGAGCCCCCTGCCTTGTGCCCATCGCTCGTCTTCCAACTCCCATGCGACACTGTATGGATAATAATTAATAATAATAATTGCTGACACTTATATAGCACTTTTCTGGACACTCCACTCAAAGCGCTTTACAGGTAATGGGGACTCCCCTCCACCACCACCAATGTGCAACATCCACCTGGATGATGCGACGGCAGCCATAGTGCGCCAGAATGCTCCCCACACACCAGCTCTCAGTGGGGAGGAGAGCAGAGGAATGAAGCCAGTTCATAGACGATAAAGCGGTTAGAAATGGATGGATGGATTTTATCAACCACATTTGTCATTTGGTTCCTTGGAAGGTATTGGCTCAGAACACAAAAAATTGATATTGGATCACGCACTGTGTATGTAGTTAAATTCTATAGATCACCTAACCTAAGCAACTGTAGGTCCAAGGATTTCTTTAATGAATTGTTTACTAGCACTAAACTGGAAAGCATTTGTTTAAAGATTCAGACGTACTGTTAACTGTAATAATTTTATGGATTTGATATGGGTCTTAAGGTTAGAAATAAATAAAGACTAACTGCAGCATTATAATTCTTTAAATGAACGATTGCACAACCAAGGGTTGAACAATTCTTAACTAGATTTAAACTAACCATTATCTTAAAAGTATATAACAACAAGAACACAGATTCTTTAACAAATGTGTGTTGAACTTCCAACACGATCTTGTAAACAGACAAATATGTTTATATTTGTGCTACTAGTTGTTAGGATCTTCTCTTTTGTTCTACATAAAAATTACCTCACGTAAGCCAGGTTTTATTTGCCTTTGTCCTTAGCAATAATGTTTGCCCTGTCCTTTAAAATTTTTGTCCTTAACATTTGTACTAATACGTATTATTCTGCCCTGATCAGTACTTGTATCAATACATGACACAATCTGATATACTGTAAGTATTCACCATGTTGAACTTTGATTGTTCATAGTAGTTTATTCAGTAGTCATTAGAAAATAAAATTATTTCAGTGTTGATTCGTAAGCTTGATCCAGGACATAAGTAAAAGAAAAGAAATACAAAAAAATGATTCTGATTGATACAAAACCTAGATACAGAAGGTAACTATGTAAGCTGCTACTGTGAGAAATTATGTTTACTGAATAAAACCTTTAAAGAGATTGTATCAGGAATTTTTCATGTAGAATACATTACCACATATCTTTTAAGTTTGCCTTACATTTCTGTACATAATTTACATTTGTTTCCATATATTTAAATACATCATTAATAAAAAAACAACTGTGATCAAAAATGATTAAATTGTTTGTAAACTGTTATACATTACTTTTCAAGATTTTTGTTGTTTTATTTTTAAACCGCAAACTGGTTTTATTACAGAAATAAAGACCAGTGCACCTTGGATTTATTTCTTACTCCCAGCATCAAAAGGTGACATGTAAATTACAAATATAGATCTCACTATACTGAACATACAGTCACAGGAAAATACAAATTAGCTCACCTTGTTACACAAAAGTTTGAAAGTCATATAAAAGAATGAATGAGAAACAAGTGTACTACACATTTACTTGTGCAAAGACAGACAGCTATGTGCTAATATTTAAATACCATTGGTATAGATTAAAACCAATTCATTTTTTCTTGTTTTCATTTTTTTTTCAGGAATCCCTGAGGTTAAAGTAACTTGGACTAGTCTTTAGTTAATTTACAGAAGTGTTTAAAAATAATGCATATTATATCAAGAAACTGCTACGTACAATGTGCCTGGGTTTGAAAAGGTCCTTCCAAGATAAAAAGTGCAGCCTCAGAGATTTTCAGAAAAAAAAGACCAGAACACATTTTTTGAAGAACAATTCAAAGAGCCCTTTCTGTATGCACATCCATTTATGACTCTACATTTTTAACACTACAATGTTTGGTTAACTGAAAGCACAGTATACTCTAATGTACAAAAAATCAAATCTTCTTTTCTTTTAATACATGGAAACATCTCTTTCAAAATAGGATGTGTCATTTTAAAATGACAATGAAAGGTATTGATTTTTTTTCTTTTTGATTTCAAATTACACTGGGATGCACAGTAGGAAAACTATAGCTAAAATACCTTACGAGTGAGAAATGCCACATTTAAAAATAACCTGTTAAAACACTGATATGTTTTCCCCCACCTCTTGTAGAGGTATATTAGAACATTGTAACATGGAAAGAGTGTGGGTAATATTGCTTTACCACTCTTTACTTCATCTTACAGGGTTTGAAAGATCTGATGTGAAAAACAGCAAACTAGTATAGAAAGTGTCTCTTTGTGTGCTGTCTCTTGCAAATCTTCACAATATTAAATCTTGGATAAAGTAAATCTCAAATAACTTGTACAATAAAGTTATAGGAGGTTTGTGTATAATAGGGAACTGTAAAGAGCACATTGTCTCCAGGAAAAAAGGAAGAAATTAAAGCTTTCAACCAAATTCAGAATTTTTACTTTGTGAACTTTGAAATAAAAAGAAGTGTTCCCTTCAAGATCTTTTTTTAGAAAAAAAAGATTAAAATTAACAAAAATAAAACTCACTTTGGTTGCTATTAACAATTTATACAAAAGGTTGACTTGCAAGATGTTACACTGAATTGCATTTAAATGAGTACAGTATATACAGATAACTATAAGTGAACCTTAACTGTACATTTTAAAGATTAAATCTGTTTTTGAAAAATCAACATTTTTAAGGTATTTCAATCAAACATTTCAAACCCTATAAACTGTGTTACACTTTAATCAAGCAGCATTATTAATGCACGAAGCATTTTAAGAGTTAAACCAACCAAGATATGCAAAAAGAGCATATACTTTATTTTCAACAAACCTGTACTGTGAATACAAAGTAGCCAAAGTAAAAGAGACATAACCCCATGACCACCTCTCACCCTTTGTTTGATTTTTACCAGTGAGCACTGCACACGTTTGAGGTGAGACTGCTCAAGAATATTATTTTAGCATTTTAATGAAGCAACTGTGCTTCTACCAGACAACACTGTGGCTTCTGCATACCTTGTGCAAATTTCAATATTCACATTGACTTCAAACTTATTCGTAAAACTTCTGTTTTTGCAAATAAGTTAAGAGGATACATCTGATCAAAAAAGGCAAATATACTATATATATTTATATATTACTCTATGTTCCTAATAAAATAACATCAATCTATTTTATAAGAACAAGAATTAGGAACCATATTGCTGCTTTGTTTGTCAAATACGGTACATAATTACAAAATATAGAACATCTCTTTACAAAGTATTTTTTATATTACAATTCATGTACAGTATTATCTACTATGAAATATTAAAGAACCTATTCTAAGATTCAAAGTTAACCTGGCTGCAGTGCATTGTCTTGAATGCCTTAACTGTCTTCAGTGTATGTTGCCTTATAGTGACAGCCATGTAAAACAGACTATCTCTAGTTTGATAATACAATAAGTAAAAGTGATATTTATGTGTCAACTGGTGCTATTTAGAGGTGGAAAACTAATGCCAGTGCTTCGAAAGAAGAAACTGAGAACTAGATTCAAGATTGAGTTAAAATTCACCTTACACTCCTCCGGAGGATATGTTTGTTTTGCAGTGGAAACTTATTTGCTTGATATGCTGATGCAGTATAAAGTAACTGAGGTAATGACACTATATGGTATCTGATTGTCATCACCGGTTATACCCTATCCTGCTGGGAGTGCACGTACTTTAACTGTTACCAATGCAATTGCATTGCTCCAGTAGGAAAGCTGTTCCCTAGGTTCTTGTGCCCAGGCTTGACTTAAAGGGTATGGACAAGGTTGCATTGATCCTTAGGGAGGAAACAGGTCCCTGCTTGGCAAAACAGAGTTTGCTTCTCGGTGCAGGTCTTAGCCTTTTGGTGTTTTTTTTACGATGTCTGTTCTTCCCACTCTCAGGCTGACCACCTGTGTGCAAAGCTCTCTCTGGCTTCAAACAGCTGTCACATTCCCTGCTCTCAGACCTGTCACTGCCCGTTGATCCAGCTAGTGCCTTAAATATTCCGTTTCACGAAAAAAGGCACTTCTTTTGTTAACAACCCAATAAATGCATTTTTGTTGCCGTTGCTGTTTTCTTTTAGCCAATGCTATAAAGTCGTAATGCATATCATTTCATCTGCTAAATCCTCCTCGTATTTCCCAGAGTCTGGTTCTTCGTCACTGTAGCCAGTGGCAAAGTCTTGGAGCTCGTAATCTCTTCTGCTTAAAATGGGGAACATCTCTCCATTGGCTCCATTCACACTGCCATTGAGAAGATTGCTAGCAGCGCTTTCCATTTCGTCTATAGTCATGTCACAAGCGTCTGCAATCTCGTGCTTTGTTGCAGATACAAACTTTGGGTCTTTCGCATACCTTCCCAGTCCTTCCGATATTAATACCTGAAAGAGGGAGTCGTGGTTTACTCTCAAGCTCTTTTTTTCCCACAATTAATAATGCATAATGTTTCCATCAGTTCCGCAATATTTAAACATGGCGGACAGATTTACATTTCAGTTGTTTTATGATATGAATCGTTTGGAATTTTCCATGCAAAAGTTGGCGTTATTTCACTTACCGCCTCAACCAAGCTGGTCGCACTCCCTCTCTTTTCATGATACTTGTGTCGGAACTCAGCAGGGACTTTTAAGTTTGCTGGTGTGTACATCCTGTGTGAGTAATCGGGGTCGTCGGTGTACCAGGAGCTCCTGTGCACTGATGAATGACTGCTGCTGATATTGTCTCTAGCATTGGGCCTGTCCACACGGATCAGGGGCGTGTAATAGGGGGAGCGGTCCTTGCTGGTGGGCGTGGCGGGGGGCGTGGCCCAGGAGCGCGTGGAACGTGTTGGCGAGAGCCTCTGAGCCCTGTTGGAGTCCAGACCTGCCACAGCCATCACCTATGTACCAGTGAAGATATAACACAAAGCACAGCATCACCAAACACGATGCTTCAAAGGAATTTTGAGACCCGTACAGTGACCCCTATTCCAAAACTTTGTAATGCACTATATTAAGAATGCACCACCTCTCTTTCATTTTGCTTTAAGCCAGCTCTGATGAAGAGCCACAGGAGAACAGGTTTGCCTTCTAACACACAGAAACATCTCTACCTGGTGCTGCATCAGATGGAGTGGGAGTGCTGTGCGCTGGTGGAACGCAGGGGACAGTGGGATATCATCCTGACTGCTTTGTCTTCGCAGACACTCAAAATTGAATGAAGGTCTTCGATTCGCTGATTGTTTAAAAAAAGAAAACGAAGATGGTTTTTTTGCTATGTTTTCATTCCGGTTAGACAATCCTAAGCTCTTAAATGTCTCTAGCATGTATACGTCGTAAACACTGTACTCAGTCTCAACACATTATCAGTACACACAACTTATTGATTGCCACCTTTGTTTGTCATGTAGATAACTATATATATTGTATGGAAACTCTTGGCTTTGCACTTTCAGACAAACCTACATTTTCACATTTGTAATGAGCCTGTGAGAGACTACAGTATCTATATTACAGCAAGTCAGAGTAAGATTTGAAAGGAAACAACGGCACAATAAAAACTTTTACTTGAAAACCCATCCAAACCCATCCAAAAATCTCTAAGGAGTTTTCGGGATGTTGGAAAACCCTACTGTTCACTGAAAAAACAGAGTGCCTCAGACACACAAATATCTTTTTATGCTAAAATCTTCATGAAAGGAAAACTCTTGCGTTCCTGAATACCTTAAACTGTAATTCAGATATTATAACAAAAATATAACAATAATGAAAAAGCAGCTTCATTACAATGCATTATATATTCATCCTGGAAGAGAAACTTTGTTCTGGAGAGAGGCAATCCTTACAGTTTTACAGATAATCTAAAACCTCTGTTATGGTTAAAAAACGAAAACAAAAAACTTGTTAGAGCTCAGTAACAGAAAGTCTTACGAAATGAAGATCACAAGAATCTAAGAATCAGATTTGTGCACAGTTATATATGAATATGAAAGAACAGGAAGAACACCACTCTGCACAGAAGGAGATGACGAGGTCTAGAACAATCTACGCTGACCATGCTGTTGAAACAAATACCCCAGCCTCTTTCAAGAAAACATGGAACGATCAATTATCATCCTTTTCACTTCTAATTTCCATCAGTTCACACAGCAGGCCCGTTGCTGGCACTGAAACCTGAAATCTCCACTCACCTTGGGGTGTAGGAGGAAGCAGACGCCTCTTTGGAGACCTACGAGACTCATGATAGATTGGTTGTTCATCATCGTCATAGTAACCATAGGGGTGATGGTAGCCTTTAGGTGTTTCATAGTCAAGGTCACTGGTATAATATCTATCATAATATTCATTGTAAGACTTCCTGGATGGAATGAAGATGCAGAGAGGATAAATTTTTTAAACACTGTATGTTTACAAATGTTTAGCTTTACATTTTGTAGTTCTGTAAAACACACATATATATATATACAAATAATCTACAGTCTACAAAGAGGTACACCTCTGCAGGTAAGTCTAAAATCCCCCAAAATAAGGGATACACTCAAATGCATAATTAAGACAAACACCCTTTACATACACTTGCTAGTAGGTACAAATCCAAGCCAAAAGTTCTGGTGAGAAAGAAACTCATTGTGCCCTGTGGTTATAACAATTGGGGATGGGCACCCATTGCATTACCTGTCTCCAGAAAGCATGCTGTCATCTTCATAAAATTCCTCTCCGCTGTAGTACTCCCCGGAGTAACGATCCTCCTCATAGTAATCGCTCCCTGAGGGATCTTCTCTCCGAATTGTAGGGAAAGGCCCCTCTCCAGAGTCTGATCTGCATGTACAAGGTGTCAGGTGAAATCTGCACTTATGCTTGGGTAAAAGGGCTACGACACCTGTCAATAGGCAGGCAAAATCAAGCCTCTTACTGTTAGCTGACTCAGGCAGATCTAAATAACTGTAATATGCTTAATATTAAAAGGTAAAGAACAAATCATTAGTCTGACTGTCCTCTGCAACTCTTCTGGGTAACAGGAGTTCATGATCTTTTTTTAGTACAGTAACTGTAAGCACTAATTTATTAAAGAAATAAAACATGCATTCAAGAAGTCCATCTGAATGGAGAGTAGGGTCTATACACTTTACAAAGCTTAGGACACTGGTTAGGGATACAATCCTTTCATGTCAATTCTTCAAAAGAATGTCATAGGAATAAGAACAATATAAAGAAACATTAGTTTGACCAGAAAAAGGAACACGTAGGATTTGCCTATCTACCTACCAGGGAGGATGCAATGAAGAAGTCCCAACCACTAGCTATTCCACTAAATTAAAAAAATCTATGGATACAGTATGTTCTACAGCGGACATACCTAATATAGGTTTCATAGTAGCGGGTCCTATCCCAGAAGGCAAAGAAATGGTTGAGAGAAAGTATTTTGGTTAGGTAATCAAGGAAGGAAGATGAAAAAAAGGTACAATGCAACATATATATTATACAGTATATGAAAAATATACAGTATTCTTATATATGCTTTTTCATTTGGAAAGGGTTACATGCATGTATGTTAGAGCAAGATGCCTGGACAGCAGTCATAGAGTGAAGTGGATTATACCTTAATCATGCAAGGCAGGACTGAGAGACATTTCTTTAATGTGGCCACAGAAACCATTTAAAATATAGCTGATCAATGCATGTCTCACTTAGGTAAAAGCCGGGTTAAAAACTGTGAGAAGATGATTAACATTTTCATTAAAAATTAAATACAAGAAAGAATTGATGTTAACCATGTATTTGCTAATCGGTTAGCTCATGACTGAGCATTATGAAGTATTACAATAATACAAGGAAATATGTTGTAGCTGCCTCATTATAAAACAAGCAGGGGGTAATACTTCAGCACTTTCATTGGAAGAAAAGGCTATGAAGTCTACAGTATGTACTCAACTCTAAATAACCTTCACAGGAAATTAAAAATTCTTCTGGATTTACACTCAAGGCAGAGTGGTGGCTCTGTGGCTCAGGATCTGCGCCTGTGGCTGGAAGGTTGCTGGTTCGTTTTCCACAACCAGCAGAGGAATCTTACTAAGTTTGGCCCATGGGCAAGGCCCTTAACCCCAACTGCTCCAGGGGTGCCGTATAAATGGCTGACCCTGGGCTCTGACCCCAAGCTTCTCTCCCTGTCTGTGTGTCTCATGGAGAGCATACTGGGGTATGCGAAAAGACAAATTCCTAATACAGGAAATTGTATATGACCAATGAAGTGATCTTATCTTATCTAAAAGAACAATTATTTCCTCTATCAGTGCCAGGAAAGAAATTCCCTTCATGTATGGAGGCTTGTTATAATAGTCAAATTGGTAATGAAAAGATGAGTGAACAACCATGACCAAAAAAACACCCTTCTTTAAAAACCCGTCAATCAATGGAGCCCTTTCTGTTCCTTCTGTAACAACGTTAAAACAATCAAGCACTATAAACCACAGCCTTACATTTTATACGAGTATGTGGTACTTCTTGATTGTGGTCTGGATTCCATGGGCACAAAATTGACAGAACACTGCAGGGATAGGGTAGGGCAGAGACCGGTGGAGAAAACAGTCCCCACCTTCAAGTGCAGCCAGGAAAAGACATGATCAGGATGGAAAAGCATGTCTCTGAGGATGGGTGTGTGTAACAGTACCCCAGTCATCTAAATGCATCCAGCATTTGTGAGCAGGGATTAACAACAGCAGGCAATATCTAATTGAGGTGTGCAGTGGGGGAAAATGCTATGTCTTTTTAAGTGGGCTTTCCTAGTGTTTTCTTGCAATTCTTAAAGCAACATAACGAGCAGACAGATTTCCATTAAACTTTTTCCCATTTCTTACCTTTTGACGCTTGGTTTCCTGTGCTTCTCATACACATCTGCCTTGAAGTAAGAAGCATGGGCAGGGTATCCATTAGCAGAGGCATGATCGTAGTACCGGTGCCCAGAGTGCTTTCCATTAGGCATGGTGGACACATTGGCATTGTTGAGATTGGCATTGGTGGACTTTGGTGACTTCGAGAACGAGTTGTGGTTGCGATGGTTGTGGGGCAGGGAGTTTCCAGTTCTGCTATATTTGCTGTGGTCTGCTGGTGGGCGGTTTGCAGGGGTCTGGATCTGCAGGGGGCGCTGTGTGGCGTTAGTCTGCTGAACCGAGCTTCTACTTTCACCGTTGACGTGATTCACATGATTGCCAAAGAGGCCACCGTTCCTCTGCAAACAAATGTGCAAGTGAATATGCTGACAAATACAAACTCCTAAGTCTTAGTGCGCACATTTATACAGGTTCTGTTTGTCCCACAAATGAGTGACAAAAATATTTTTTTTTTTAATCAAGTTTTTTTTTCCTGTTGTTCAATTTGTCACCACTAAATCAGCGATCAGTTTTTACAAAATGCCTTCTCCCACTATTAAAATTTAAATATATTTCCAACATATCTGATTAGATGTTTATTAATGCAATGATTTACTGATATATATGTAGAATGTATCTGACTTTTTGAACGCTGAAAATTTTCATTAAGTGAATGTGAAATTCTGGTGTTCATGAAGAATCGGTTGCTGAGCCCTGCAAGCCAAACTGAGAGACGTAACGTGATGTTACAATTTTGCAGCCATGTCCCTGAGTGACCCACCTCATCAAATGTCTTACTCAAACTTTCATGTACAGACGCAAACAGTGCAAATAAAATGAAACTAGAAGGGACACAATGTCCCAGAGATCACCAGAGAGAACTCCACTGTCCTATCTTTCCAATTCAGCCTAAATGCTGAGATATAACAAATATATTGATTTGTAAGTTGAATACATTAAATTCTCTTTGGAAAAGAAAATATGCTGTAAATATTGTCCATGGTCCAATGTACTGTATAGTATGATTTTAAAATGAGACATGCAATAAGGTCAAATGAAATGATGAATTATGCACACATGCTTGATCAAATTGAACTGCAACTTAAGCACTTGGTATTAGTGGATATGATTAAAACTATAATGGTACAGGCAATGAAACTTAATTCCAATGCAGTCTGTAATTGCTCTGGAGCAAAGCCAGCCAGTTCAATTAAAAAAAAAAAGAGTTGTATGTATAACTGGGGTTCTTCATATTTCCAGTTTTGCTCTCACCATTGCTTTTTTGCTGCATGAAACTATTAAAAGTGAATGGTTACCCTATAAATATCCTCGTCCTCGTCAGGATTAACTTCTACAACCTCCTCATCTTGCAGGTCACATGATATTGCTCGGCGAATTTCGGGCCCAATATCATGTAGTGTTCGGAGTCCGGCCTGCAACGATGATAAGAAAAGTTCTTAGATTCCCAGGTGTACGGTAGTATTTCCCAGGGTACTGTAGGGACCCAGAAGCAGTGTACCAGATCGCACTGAAAAGCACGTTATATGGGAAGACTCATTACAAAAATGACAATTCTTGAATTTCAGGTTGAATCACCAGCTTCAACTGTAAATGACCTTCGGGAATAACAGCACAGCTGTCGCAAGAATTAAGATCGTTTTTTGATGGCATATACAGTCTGCAAGCATTGAAAATATTTGCTGGTCATAGGTCATGATGTGTTACAAACATTCCAAAGAATCATACAAAGGCTTTCTGAGCAGATGGCAAGAGAAATTCACAAGTCTCGACAATTGGCTGTGGTATCCAGGATGAGAACTCTGAGTCAGCCTGAGTTTTTTCATCATGATATTAAAGTTGAGAGTCCATTTTGCATGACACATCTCATGATGAGTCACTTCTTTCAGAACTGAAGGATGGGCTGCTTAGTCCTCAGTTTGGTTGTGTGTGTTTGATTCAGGGATTCAGTGATGATGGGTAGACGGGGCACAGACTTCAACAAGACAAGGATATATAACTAACCCTGACCCACATCTGTTAAAACTAAAGCACAACATCTTCCAATATGAAATATGAGTAAATTTCTAAATGTAAGAACTTCTAATCTTAAATTTAAACTTAAATTAGGTTCCCAAGTCGTTTGAGAGCTAAAACTCCTTTTCTAGCTTAACCTGAAGTATTGCTTAAACACTATCAATATCATTCAAAGACATTATGGAACATTGCAATCATGATATTATTTCTAACAGCTGCGGATTCAACCCACTGCATCCAAGTTTCTAGTCTGCCATCCTGCTGAAATTAGGGACTTCTGAATCCAGGATATATGGGAACTAAAAAGGCTTTCTGTGTTTTCAATTAGATAAGTCTAGTCAATGACAGTGAATGTACAAAGGAATCTTCTGTGAATCAATATTCAACTGAAAAAGAAGTCCATTTAGGTCATTAAGGATCTTGTAAATGTACAAATCTCTGTCCTGTTTTTTATTTTAAAAATCTAGAAGATTTTTATTCATGCCTTTTCTATTGACACCCACTTGGTCTGACTGAGTTTTTATTGAATGAAGTGCTTTAATTCTTATTATGAACTAACCCTGGGTGTACTTCCACTGAAACACAGATACAGTATGTATTTATTGTTATTGTTGTATTGTTGTAATTATAATTGTGTCCTGTCTTGTGAAATTTTCTCATTTATTGTTGTAGTCTTCTTATTTATTGTTATTGTCATCCTGTAAAGCGCTTTGAGAAGCCACCTTTAAAGGCGCTATATAAAATAAAGTTTATTATTATTATTATTACAGTATGTGGGTGGTACCCTCTATCATCAAAGATAACGGTCAGCAAAAACAATCAAGCTTTTCATGGTTGCTTCAAAGATTACAGCAAAGGCTGATACTTGAAATGCAATGTAATTTTTGCAGCTGTTATTAAGAAAAGCTGGGAGGCTTAACTGTTTTGAAATACTGTATTGAACTTTCAAAGGAACACAATTGGGATTTGCTAAGATCTTGGCAATGCATCATAAAGATGTAAAATGTGAACGGCATGATGGGCATTGCAATCACCATGATTAAAATAAAAAATAGAAAAGTAATTTTAAGAACATATGGGCATTGCAAAAATCATGTTAAAGGACTATAAACATAAATCTGTTTATAAGTTTCAGCAAATGATGTTAGCTGAAGGATTTTTAAACATGTCAAGTCATGAATATGAGCTGAGTTCAAAATACAAGGTTATTTAATGTAAACATGTTAAACAATGCAATTGAAAAATCCCCAGTGAGGACAGATTCATATGTTCTTCAGAGAACTAAAAAAATCTGCCTGTTCTTTACAGAGTGAATTGCTTATAGCCTAACGAGGAATAACAGATTTAATTACCAGCAGTTCTTTCTAGAACTCCTGCTGGTATAATTAAGACATCACACTTCAAAGTGTAAATTATTCCTGTATTCATCCAAGTCCTAGCTGCAGATACTTTAGGTTGTCAACAACATATTTTTTGCAGTAAGATTGAGAGGGCTGTTGTTAGATCCAAATTTGATTATTCTCATGTTAAAAAACATCGACACAGGCGGACTTTGTATCTTATTCTAATAAGAACCCCAGGGTCACAAGAGGAAAGAATTTTGTATCATACATTACTGGAATGTATAAATAAAATTGCACACATTTAAAGTGCATTTACTTTATTCTGAAAGCATGTTTTTCTATGTATTGCAATCCACTGTGTGCTTTGTGAAAATGTACTGTAGTTATTAACGCAGTGGAAATGTAAATAGTTGTGTGTTTAGCACGCAAAATACGTATAAGAGAGTCACCTAAAACCTACGGTACATAGGTTGAGTAACAAAAAAGAGAGGGTCTTTCTATTTAATAATAATAGTAATAATAGAAAATCTTCTGTAAATAGAATCACAATACATGTTATCCACATAAACATTCTTACATTTTAAATAAACGATATATTGCATTGATTGGTACCACTGACGAGTATAAACATCAAGGCTTCCCCCAGGCATGAATGTATTCTGAATCAGTGTCAAGGATCCTCCCCTCAGTAAACTGGACAGTCACAATTTATACAGGTTCCTCCTCTTTTTTTTTCTCTCTACTTTTCATACCGCAAACGTTACCTTGCAAAATTAAGACTTTGATAAATACAAATCATATCAAGCAAAACCCTGCACTTTCAGTACATACTGTCCTTTACAAATCTATTCTTTTTGAGGCAAAAGGTCAAGAATATCATTCTTAGCATTCATATCGCTCATACCACAAAGCAAGTATATTCTTTTCATAAAGGTAAGCCTTCAAACATCTGCATTTGGATTTCACAATTTTCTGTCTATTCACTGTAGGTTTCATCCACGAGTACAGTTTCCTTTAAGAACAAACCACACAGGCCAATTACCAGCACACAAACAAGACAACACAACATGAGACCTACACTGTAGCAGTGAATATAAGAGATGTAGCACTCCAGGGGCAGTCCGATGGACCCGTTCTTCTGGGTCGACTTGTTGCTAGTCAGAGGCGGAAACATTGATCTCGAATGCATTGTGCTGTACACATCCAAAGAGCTGCTCTTCGTCAAATTCGCATTTTGAGCTAACTGAATGCCAGTGTGTGCACTGCTCAGGCGTCTCCAGCCCAATTACAGTGTGTCGAGTGACACATTAACCCCTGAGAGCTTTTCTCAACTGCACTCAAGGAATTTGAAAAATCCCTTAAATGTAATAGCCCTATCTTTTCAAGATTTTTTTTACTAAGGGTAAGAGAAGTCCGATCTATTTTTCATCTTTAAAATACCTTTTGGCAAAGAAATAATATGGTTACTATTATGTGCTTTTTCAGTTTGAACACTTGCTTGCTGCTGAGTTGTTTCTGAATATAATTAATAATGCTTATACATCTGTCAGTTATCATTAGAGCTTTTCCAGTGAGCTGTCCATAAAATAGACAGAGGGAATGCAGCTTATCCTGCTATTTAAACAATTGCATGTAAGTTAATCAAGCTAGAATAATTAAAACTTATGCCAAACAGAATGGTATCCCACTCTTATTCTATTAATTAAATAAAATTTTACCACATTAAATTGACTCAACATTGTCAATAATAGTTCGGGTGGGTAGCTGCGTCAGCATCCATAGGCTGCAAAGGAACAAGCAATAGGTTTATTCCATGCTGAAAAGAGAAGAAAGAAAACACAGCGTTTCAGCCGTGGAGCCTTCTTCAAGTGTGAGGAACTTCACACCTGAAGAAGGCTCCACAGCCGAAATGTTGCGTTTTCTTTCTTCTCTTTTCAAAATGGAATAAACCTATTATTTTTTATAATTTATCAATAATATTTTAATGTGCAATTTTCAACTACATTCTCATCTAATCAATCCTTTGAATTTCCTCACTAAAATGTGCTTAATGTTACAGTTCTGCTCTTCCAATTGGCTAATTTTAAATCCTGTCTACTTGTATAAGGTTTTCACTGGCAATAACAATAAGAAAATGAGCCTGGAAGCACGCTGCTCAAACAGTGACCTGCCTTTATCCTGTATAAGAACATAAGAATGAATGCTTAAAAACCAGCAGAGGTTATCAAGCCCATTAGCTTGTGTGGCTGATAGTAGCTATTTTATCTGGAAAAAAACTTGACATAGCTGGGCAGCTGGTGCCAGACCCACAATCCTTTGCATAAAAAAGCACCTCCTGTTCTCAGCTCTAAATGCACAATTTCTAATTTTTGCATAAGTCCTCTGGATCGTGGTTCAATATTGGTGCTGAAGAAGTCCAAAGGACAGACTTGGCCAATGCCCACGAGGATTGTAAATACCTGAATCACATCTCCTCATACTCTCAAGACTGAAAAGATTCCATTTAGCCTGTAACATTCCTCTAAACTTGAGGAACTCTTCATGTGTTTCTTCATAGAGATCACCCACAATATTTCTTACTCTGGAGGTGATTTTGCTCTGATTTTAAAACTGGTGAGGCCTTTGGCCCTTTGATCATTCAAAAACAATCTTGAAGATTTGTAATAATTTCATTATAAAATTCAGGAGAAAAAACAAAGTTAAGCAAGTGACTTAACATACATTTGCTTCTTAATTATACATTTGAAGTCCACAAAGGCATTGCCAGGCAACGGCCAAACAGAATTAAAACTTCTGCAAAAAGGGAGCATTTTTGGCAAAGGTTATTATTCAAATCTATTATGCAGAAGTCAACACCTGATTAGAATTTGTAAAGGGCTAATTTGTTCATTGCTTTAAAAACTACAAGCTGCATGTCCATGGTTATTAATGTATAAGGAATTAAACCCTCTATCATTTATTCAGGGGTCATGAGCTTCTTTTATTTCATTCTCAAAAACTTCAAGGAGATGTAAAATGAAGAAGGTAAAAACTGGCTTTATATTCATGTCATTCCATTTGTCATTATAGACTATATTTTCTTAAGCTTCTTTGCTTTTTTTCAGATTAGCATTTGTGTGAAACCATGATATTTACTCTTCCTAATATAAAATACAAAACTCCTACATATAGTATCTCACAATCACAAGACATCCTTTAAAATTTTCCACCATTGTGGAAATTATGGACAAAGAGAGGACTATCATAAAACATGTATATGATTAAAAAGTTTAAGAATATTTCCACTGGAGTAAAAATTTGTCCAGTTTGGTAAAGAGAAAAGTGTTGAATGAATAAGGAAATCACACTGAATTTAGGACCCAGATCAGAAGGAGCACAGTAAAGGAATGACATATTCGAAGCAACTCGTATCCCCTGCAAATTGTAAGCAAATTTATTGCTTTCATTTTCTAATTTAAAATTCAAAAAGAAAAATTACTGTAGGTTGCAGGCAGAGAGGGAGAGAAAAAGAAAGGTATCAAATATATTGCATCTGCCCCCTTTGTAAAATGACATTAAGAAGCAAAGTTTATTTTAAATGCAAGTATACGGGACGTCTGTTGAAACAGGCAAACATTATAGGAGACTGCCTGGTGCTTGAAAATTGATTTATGAAAAATATACTTGAACTTCAAGCAAATATTTTTAAAACATATATATATATACTGTGTAAATGACAGTTTATCAAGGGAAACACATGGAAGGCAGAGAAAAAAAAAACTTGAAAGTAAGCAAGGGCCATCTGGTTAACTTATTTTAAGTAACTTATTTTACGGTCTTCAGAGCTGAAGATGGAACAGGTTTCCAATGTGTTTCACATCCAACAGCTAAACACTTACATGGTATAAAAAGGCTAAAAGGCTGTTTTTCCTTCTAATCTATTTTTAGAACTATATAAACCGTGTAGTATGATATATGCTTGCAAGGTATATTCGTAATGCTTTGCTGAGACATTTTTTCATTCATTTGAAGAGCAGTCAGTATCTCGCAGACTTTAGACCGCTTTAAAAGGGCTGAATATTACTCTTTCATCAGAACAATGGAACAAAGACTGTCAGCACTGAATTCGAGGCATCACCTGCTCACATGTAAATGTGATAAATTATGTAGGCATGGTGGCTGGAAACAAGGATTCTAGAAGAACACTTCTGTTGAATTATAATATTAATAATAATAATTGCTTACACTTATATAGTGCTCTTCTGGACACTCCACTCAAAGCGCTTTACAGGTAATGGGGACTCCCCTCCACCACCACCAATGTGCAGCCCCACCTGGATGATGCGACAACACCCATAGTGCGCCAGAACGGTCACCACACACCAGCTCTCAGTGGGGAGGAGAGCAGAGTGAAGGCAGTTCATAGAGGGAGATTATTAGGAGGCCTTGACTAGTAAAGGCCAATGGAAAATTTGGCCAGGATGCCGGGGTTACACCCCTACTCTTTTCGAGAAACGCCCTGGGATTATGAATGACCACAGCGAGTTAAGGATGATGATCCTTTATCAGACAACTACTGATGGATTTTGGATAACATCTCTTAAAGTCTAGAGTATTCTTTGCAATGCCAACTTACAGTAGATGATGGTAAAAGATTATTGTCTCTTAAGCACCAGAATTCAGAAGAAAGGGATTTCTTTCAGGCAAATAAGGTTCTATGTAGAGTAACAGTGGTCACCTAAGCAGAACTTAAATTACAATAAAACCTCCAATAGATGATAGTACAAAACTCTGTTTGAAGTCTATAATGGAACATACTTTTTTTCTCCATACTGGCACTGGCCTTTCAACCTAGATGACCTCTGCTACCTTCCTGTTACTCCCATTTTCATCTCTTGTCGATAAATATTCTCCCCGGTTTTTCTTTCAAGTGAGGACCCATGGACCATGAAACTACTGAGCAGTTGCCTGTCCCTTTTGAGGCTTTCAGCTGTACTGGAGATGAGGCGAGACTGTCCATGCATTGTGAATAACAACCCAGATGGTACTGGGAAACAGGAAGGAGACTCGGAGACCGCTTCAGAGAACATGTCAGGGCTGTGAAGATGAAAGATCTCTCCAAGCCCATAGTTTCTCATTTCACCTCTGACGGCCATCATCACACTGATCTCTCTATCTCTGTTCTCAAAGGAGGGTTTCTTAACTCCAACAACAGAAAGACATCAGAAACTAAAATTATCCTGAAACGGCGCACACACCCCCCCCCCGCGCAAAAACACAACTGGTTTCCTCCAAATCCCCCCTATCAATTGGAAGGTTCCAACTCAACCCTCTCTTCACCTCTCTTGACTTCGCACCACCTGAGTGGCCTCTCCGCCTCTCCCCTGCTCCCGCCTCCTCCTCTCTCCTGGCTTGTGTTTTCCCAGGCTATATTATATTTGGTTTCTGCCAAATACCCGAAGAACACTCCTCAGCCGAAACGTTGTGTTTTCTTTCTTCTCTTTTCAGCTTGAAATAAACCTATTACTTGTTCCTTATCTGAGTGTTGTTTTCTTTGAAAGGAAACTTTCTCCTGATATACTGAACTCCAAAAAATAACTAAAGAAATGTGTTTTCATTTGTCCATTTGTAAAAATCATTTGTTATTTTTACAGTAGAGAAAGAGATCAAAGGCACCAACAGACAATTTATTGTGATTCATGTTCAAATATTTTTGGTCAGGTTGTACTTTCTAGTAAAGTGCAGGCACTGGTAAGTTTTGTTAGTGTCACACAGATGAAATAAAAATTATTCTCCAGTACTAGAACCTACAGACCAAAGATCACAGCAGTGTCAGTGTTAGCCCAGCTTGAATGAATCTTTAACACTCCCTGTCATATAAGCTAGCCCTTTACAAAGTTTATTTTTCATAAAAGCAACAGATTGTGACATATCCTACCTAATCTATCTGAAGTCTATCTGGCTTCTACAGTCACCTAACTTATTTTCAGGGAAAAAGGAGCAGCATTTGTTTCCACAAGTTTCTCACATCTTCTGAGAACCCATCTAGCCAAAACCACAAGAATTAAGTTAATCAAGTGAATAATTAACTTGAAAACCCTTTCAGGTCAGCTTTCAACCTTTAAAACATAGCGAAACATGCAAAAAAAAATAAACCCAGCTGAAGCAAACTTACCTGCAAAGCGATGGTAGTGTTCTTTGAAGGATGTTTTCCAACTAGGCCTTGTTCTTTGCGTTTCTTGAATTTCCTAAAGTAGTCCTGTATCAGGAAGGTGGCATAGAACTTCCCCACGGTTACCTCATCATCTAAATGAACAGACCACACAAATCCCTCCTCTGTCAGCAAAGTGCACTCACAGGGCTAATACGCTAACTTTCTATGTTGGTACATTGGAGATGCCCGCAGTGAAGACCTTCAGTCTGCAGGTCATCGGCAAGGTAGCAACTTTATGATTTGGTGTAAGAGATACAGTGTTCCAGCCATCCTCTTCCTATGACACACTAGTGCTCGCTATGGTGTGTGACCTGGGTACTAAAAGCTCAGAAAACTGAAAAGTTTCACCGTTAAAAGAATGATGTTTCCCTTGTGTGAACTTTTGAACTCGTTTAGCAATTATCATACAAAAAGTCTAATTTCGGTACCTTAAAAGCATACAAAATTAATTATGTTCCATAGATTTATAACTCTAATTGTAACTCAATAACGGCATACTAAATAATTAAATCAGGAATACATCAAAGAACGGCAGACAGAATTTTGGAGCAAGACACAATCAAATTGGAAAAGAGGCAGGTAAATCTACATACAAGACAATGGGATTTAAAATGATAGAATGTTTTGAATAGAATATCAAAGAGGTAATACATGGTCTGGTTCACTTCCAAAGGAAAATGTGAGGTGTAACAAACACACTCAAATTGACAGAACTATGCATTGCAAAGTGGAGTCGACTCCAGACTACTAATTATATATATTTACATATAACACACATTTGGTACTGACATCATTTATCTCAATCTTAGAATTTCATTTATTTATACTGCTGGGATATTTGATTATTTATCTCTATCACAAAAGGTCCACATTCACTAAAGCCCATGACTTTAACCCACAAGCAAAAAAAAACCCCGACATATTTGTCTACCATGTTAAAATTAAGCAACAAAGTAAATTGGAATTTCACACTGAAATTTATATATTGCACCTAATAAACCTAATAAAAGTGCAAAAAATTGGATGTGCCTTCTGTATCACTAGTCTGCTATTGGACTGCCTACTCAATCTTCTAAAAAAAACACCTTTACAGACATTTTGCCTTTGCCAATAGTTTAAGGCACTGTTTCCGCTATTAGTAAAAATATACATGTGTAAACATTTCTACAGTTAATTTCATTTGTGATTAAAGGTTTTCCATCAAATGAACTGATCGTGACAGGTTTGTCTTCAGGAATAAATCTGCTTCCAGCACAAAAAAAAAAGTAATATGAGTTCCCAGATTTCAATTAGTGAATCTTATGGTCAACACATGAATAGCAAGGCTAGTACTATATTTAAATATACAGTATTCATATATGCTGTGGTTTATGTGAGGTCACTATATAGACTGATGCTGAAATAAGATCTTCTGGTACTCTACCCAAGTAGATTCCTCCAAAACTAAGAGATGTCATGATATGCGTCTTAACTTTAAACTTCACAAAATAAGTTGAATGATTTGTTTTCATCCAAGAAAGTTGTAAATAGTACACGTCGGCGTGTCTGAGTAGCTAGTATAACCCTATATACGATGGTTGTACTGTGATAGCCAAGGGACACTGCTGCTAATAAAATAAATAGCAGGAAACACGCTACCCCACCACTGAAATGTACAGTAGATGGCAATATTAAGGAGAACACAGAAGGGAGGTGTGGGAAGAGCAGGGAACAATAATATCGAAAAAATCCCACAATATAACACACAAGCAAAAAAAGTCAACACTCAAAACAAAAACCAAGCAGCACAGTAATAAGTGTGTGGAGAATAAAAACCGCCTAAACTATTAACACCTTGGACACACTTTGAGGCCTAGTTTACTTGGAAAGACTGCATCCCCTGATTTAACCCTACAAAATTAAAATAGCATCTAAGTAGATGCCCTGTGTGCAAGTTAATAACGTTCAACAAGAACTTAACACTTAACACTTTACACTTAATATGTATTCATACCACGACATCCCTATGATACAAGAAAAAAAGAAGTATGCGACAATCATATAATAATAATAATAATAAGAAGAAGAATAGTAATCTACTTGCTTCTTTGTCTACGCTCTAAGTCCAGTAACTAAAGCACTATGTAAACATGTACATAAAGTATGTGCAACCTCTGCAATATGTGGTACCCTAAGGAGAAACGCCCTAGATTCTAATCAGCACATGCAAGCAAGCAGAGCTACTGCAGCTGTGTGGAATAATTCTGAAGCAGGAGTCTGTAACTTTAAAAACAACGCAGGGGACAAAGATTGGTAAGAGGCAACACTAGTTCCATGCCACCACCCTAAAACAGAATTGCTTCAGAATATTCTGAAGGACTGAGAGTGTAAAAGGAACAGAAGCTGTGGAAAAGCTCAAGCGAGAAAGACAAGATTTAGTACGAACAAAACATGCAGTGCTGGTGTTGTCTAGGCCATGCAAGCTGTCCATGAAGAAGCACACAACGGAGAGATTCTAAAACAAACCACTGTACAGAGAAAAGTCTTTAAAGCAGCAATACTTCCGTCATTTATTTTGTACTGAGAAAGTGTTAACTAAGCAGAAAGAGGGACTTATTTTGTGTCTGATGAAATGTCAGAGTCCTTTCATACATTTATGACATTTTTCTCTAAAGAGTTCCCAAATGGAAATGTTCAGGTCACCAAACAAAATACTGCTGCTTTAAATATTTTAAAAGAGGCCAAAACTCTGTAATGGGAAAATAGTTAAGAATATCAAAGCTAAAGTATTATTTTACATTTATAACAGTAGATAGTCATGCTGATAGTCATTCTGTTAATTCAACAAAGGCAGTTCAGCTAATTTATGAGTTTATGAAAACCATTGCTCAAAAAATTGATATAACAGTTCACTTTGATTAACGTGTTTCTTGTCTTTCCTGCAACAGGAAATGTTAAGATACTATCAGCAAGGGAAACAGCAGAATTTCAAGATAAAAATAAAAAACCACTGTCACATAAGTCCTTTGTGCAGTTAGACAGCTATTAGACAGTTATTTCAAACAGAGCTGAGCATGGGACCAGATTCTGCTCTTTTAGGCAGATGTGTGGTATGATAAGGTATACAGGAATCATTGAGCAGGGAAGCCACTATGCTTTGGGCTGTAGTTTCAGAACAGATGTGACTAACCCCCAGCCGGAGGAACAACTTGATCCAGCAGCTTCATACTGGTTCTTTTCCAGATCTTCTTGATAACAGCTCTCAGCTCCTCATTGGCTTGCTCAAGGTTACCTAGCGAAGAAGCAGACTTTTTAGTCACGTAGATGAAACGATTGGTTGAATCAAGAGGATTGCAAAGTCGCGTGCAGCCTTGCAGACTGTCACAGGGTCGACGCACGACAAACCACAGAAAATGACTACTGGAATTAAATAGCTGTGCACAAAGGTTGCAGTAGTGTGCATAAAAATACATGCTCACTACAGGAATGTGAATTTCCTTGTCCATCAAAAGTAAATTACAGGATATTTGTCTTTAAAAAACGGCTCTTTTCTTAAGTATATTAAGAACTAAGCAGTTTTTGTACAGGACCTTGGTAATTTAATGTGATAAAGGAAAGTGCAACCTCAAAACCACAAGGCTGAATGTGAAGAGAAATGATTCATCAGAGACTAAGGCCAACAAATCCTCTATATTCCTAAAAAAGAACAAGGTATGCAATAATTCTTTTACCCTGTAATTACTGGACTCTCATAGGCTGTCACAGATATTAGTATTGGACAGTCTTAAAGGGGAACTGCAACGTTATTTTTACATTTCGGTGTTATAAAGAATCAGCTGTGATGAGATCATTTTAAACCACAATGAAAATTCAAAGTACACAGTAACGTGTAAATTCTCCAATTTACATCACAAAAAATATAAAATTTAAAATAAAGCACAGCATTAATTTGTCGTCATTGTCTGTGATTCATAATGAGGCAAACAATACTCCCTGTGATGTGAACCAACAATATTTGTAAACAAGCATGCTCGTGAACATATCTTTTAATCCATTAGAAATAATACTGTTAGTTATAAGACCAGGAATGGCAGCTAGTTTGAGCACAAGTTTTGTTTCAGTTTCTGAAATTAAAATATATTTTATATTACAAACTGTCCGGCTCCATAATCAAGTAAACTCCAAAGCAGAGAAAATGTCAATACACGTCCTATCCCAAATTAACAATTAAAAAAAATATATATTTCTGTTGCAATAAAGAACATGCTTTAGATCAAGCACATTTGCTACAGATCACTACTACAGGAAAATTTCTGTAGTGAAATGTCTGCTGCACTAAACTACTTATTCGCTGTACATCGCATTACATTAGTCATAACAGTGACTAGTGAGGAGAAAGGGCCACTTCACATCACAATTCTCACAAACTGTGAAAAGGAGGGGTTTGTCACAACATGGCGATAATATAGTACTTTCACAAAGTTCGGACTTATTTTCGGAAAATATTTTAATACCGTCAATTAATTTATTCTGTTACCAAGATTAATTACCAGTCTGAGAACTGTTTTCCCTTCAGTATCTTTAATGATCATGAGCAACTGTCACAAATTATTTCAGAACTTCTTATGGATAAATGATTATTTGAATTCAGGAAAAAAAAAATTAAAACCTGCTCCAGTAATGTGCACAGCAACACAGACCTATAGTGCTTGGTGAAGTACAAATGAAAAATGAATTCTCAACTTACTCTAAACACCTGTTTTATCCCATCAATGTTCATCAAACATGCAGCTGGGAGAAATCATGTGCACGAGTGAGCAGGCTCTTCTGTTAGGTCTGTATTAGAATTTCTAATTTTACACACTGCAATTTCAGGAACTGGAATCACAACCTCATGCAATGCTCACAAAGGTCTGTTAACTGCAAGAAACGCTTTGGCTCATCACATCATGTGGAAAGAACACCAACCTTTTACTGTATGTGGGAAAAAAAAATCACTGCTTTGTATTTGCTTCATTTTTAGGTTTGATTTTTTTTACCATGATGCGGTATATAGGTGCATTGAAAAAAACAATAATTATATGCAGAAGAAAAAAATGTGGGATGTCTTTGTCCCCAACAAAACAATTTTTAACAAAACAATTTTTTAGATTAATTTTAAGTATTGTTTACATTTTTGTTTATGCAATAACATTGTGTAGTAATATTATCTAATATTTCACAACACTAGTTTAAAAGGAGAGAATGTAGCTCCTGAGTGCATAATTAGTCCATTTTAAGAGGCCTTTGTTTCTAGAGGCCTGTCTTGGGTTGAGATATCCAGAAGCACCCAAATAGGTATTATGGACGCTGCTCAAATGAAACAGATATGAAGGCAGATCACAGAGACAGCGGGAGAACAAAAGTGACAGGAGAGAATCAACAAGTTATCTGCTCCACTGTGAAAGTACACAGTGTTGGTACTGTATAGATGAATAACAGGCTTAGCTCACTCACCTTCAGTTTTGATCTTCAGTGCCGTTCGGACCAAGGCAAATAAGGTGGCATTGAACATGACTGTACCATCACTGTTTAATGGCATGTTCATGGCAACTAACCTCTGAAATAAGAAGTAGGAGCTGTAGCATTGATTTTACCCCTCTACTGAGAAGCAAAGCACCATGAGCAGAATAACATTGTCTTTCCTAAAAGATGCACATCTCACTCACTCTGTTATGTCTTAACAGAAAGAGGTGGCTAGCTAGATTAACAAGAAAAAAAAGTGCAACAATCAAGTGAACCCTTTTTTATATCACCGACAAATCTTCAAACTACATTCTCTTGTGGCAACAATGGATTCTCTAACCCACACTGAAGCAAAAGTAGCACAATTAGCACTTGTGTCTAAACCGAAGGGTACTTGTTTATTGTCACTTAGACAGCTGTCAAAAAATCAATACAATGTTGATGACAGTAGCTCTGCCAAAGTCCCTGGAACACTACAGGCCGTCAGAACGGATTTGTTGGGAATTGCTGGAGATTGTGATTGCGCTGCCGGAGTGATTCCACTTCTCAGCGTCTCCCTGAAAACAACTTGGCTCTGTCTCAGTCCCCTGAGTGGTTTTCTTATACTTGATATAACTGCCCCCATGTGATAATTCTCCCTGAGCGTTTCTGTCAGATCAAATCAATGTGCCCTGTACAAATCTGGTGCCTTTATTTTTATGATCTCTTCTATAACCATACAACAGATCATCTCTATATATACTGTATAGAGTACGCCCAATTTATACTGAGAAACAATAAAACCACGAAAAATGCTGTATTGGAACCAATAGCACCACGTGCTTATACAGTATATACATACACTATATATAGACAATAAATAAAACTTTATTTTACCAGACAAGGCAGCTAACAAGGAATTTTAATTTACTATTACCACCTGGACAATACCCAATTAAAGAGCATGGTTTTCTACTGGAGCACTCAAAAGGCAGCACCTTGCTCTAGGGTGAACAGCGGTAAGGTGATCAAAGTACATAATTACTGTAGGAGCAACATCCAGGGCCCAAAGAAATCGGCTAACCAAAATACAGGTGTTGATGCTGTTACCTTGCAAGCCACTCTATGTGGACATAGTTTGCCAAAGCCCAGCGGAGGCTGAATGCGACGCAGCAGAGTGACTACATCCAGATGTTTTATTCTGCCCCTGTAAAAAAAAGAGCATCATGTTTAAAAAGCTGGCCAAAAGGAGGCAGGAGCACAGCAGTGAAGCAATTCGCAAAACAGCTATCAATGTGAACGGAGAATATAGGGGCCTATAAGAGCGCAATTCCTTTAGAACAGAATACAGAAACACAATGCTTTCATTATCTTCCGTGAACACTACTTTGATGCTGTGAACACAAATAGCCCCTTCTTTTTTTGATAGATTTTCTTATGTTGCCCAGGTTGATTTTCACTTCTGGTCAATTTCTGCTTCAAATGTATTTATGTGGATTCTAAGCTTACCTTTACAACTAAAATTTACTATTGAATAGAATAATACTATTATAGTTAGATTAAATTCTCCTTATGACATGCAGTTAACTACACAACAATGATTCCAAAGTATTATGTAAGAATGTTACGTTTTTTATTTCAGTCTTATTTTTATATTATTTATATCAATATTCATAATATTATATTATTTATGTAATATTTTATATTTATCGTTTCCCTCTAAATGTTTTCCACAAATTCCGGTCAGGGTTTTTCCATTCTTTATCGGTTCAGTCCACTTTCTTACTCACTTTGCTTCAGGATCATATTCTGACCATATCCTCTTAAACTCGTCCAGGTGGTGGGGCCCAAGTATGGACCAGTCACGTGTCAAATAGTCAAAGTTGTCCATGATGACAGCAACAAACAAGTTAATGATCTAAAATAAAGTTATTACTCATTAGATTAGGTCAGATTTAAGTTTGACGCAAACCCAGCTTTTCTGAGAATAACAAAATTAAGTTAATTCTACTGCTTTTAAGAAATGGCAAAGGTATAGTATTTTACAGCAATATACAGTATCTTTTGCTTTCTACTTTGAGCAAATTGTTTTTCAATCATTTCATTCAGCAAACCCAACTGTCCTTGGTAGCTGTGAAAAAGCTTGACGTATTTTAGACATCAACCAAAACTACTCAACGCAAAGCACTTCCTGGCAAAACATAAGCTTGGCGAGCAGTTTCGCCAAAAGTAAAGACAGAAATAAAAGAGACAGTTAAAAGCCGCTGTATATGAAGCCTGTACATTTTTCACACACGACGCCATGCTTACCAAAAAGGCGCACAGCATGTAAAAACTAATAAAATAAATAAAAGCAAAGTTGCTGCCGCATGTAAATTCCTCGCCGGGGTTATAGTCGGATTCAGGGTCACAGCGTTTGCCTGGCAGACATGCCTGCATGATTTCTTGCCAAGCTTCGCCCGTTGCACACCTGAAAGACACAAGCAGCCCGTCTTCAGTCAGCTGCGCCAATGGACAGGGGCAGTGCAGGGCAGGCAAGAGCTGTCCCCATGTCTGTGAAAGCAAATGCGTTATGGGAATCTGTCTAACTGCATTCAGTCAGTGCAAAATGTGACTGTGATGGAATAAATGATAACACCTGCTGTTCCTGCAGAAATGTCCACAGATTAACTCTTACCTGTATGCCTGAACCTGTCCATCTCATTTGTACAATCTCCAGAAGATTTGAACACTTCATTAGTAAAGGGCTGGTTTTGATGACATTTTTAGTGTTCCCTCAATTTTAAATTCAGCTTTCACAACTTATCACAGTCGTGCAAATTATATACAGTATTTATGAATTTATTATATAAAATGTCATAATATTATATATATTTTTACAATGTAAAATATATTAATTAATGATATAAATCACATAAAGTATTCATGAATAAATTCATAGTGTTTTTTTATACCTACTAAGACTACTAACCTGAAAAGCAAAAGTACTGCTTGTGGAAATGTCTGGAAGTTGTTATTTCTGTTGATCTGAGTGTTGTCTACCATGGCGATTTTCCCAAAAATCTGTGAAATAAACACTCCATTTATTATTTTTCCATCAGTAATTTCCATCGTGAGCGCTAGACGTATAGTATGCGGCTAACTATAAACTCTCTCATTTAAGTAGTGACATATTTTCGTTTTGCAAATACCTGCATCCCGATTACAGCATAGATGAAAAACAACATGGCAATCAGAAGAGCGACATATGGCAAAGCCTAGGGGAAAAATGAAAAACAAAAATCAATCATCAGGAAAGCAAAAGAGAATAACATCTTTTCAGTACTGCACTGCAACATACACAAACAGTATACATGTTGGCATTAGAGGGTCATATTGGATAGACAGATCTGCACCAACAATGCTTAGTTATGTATATTGGCACTCATGGATTAAAAACAAATAACAAGCAGCACTTTTGAATGAAGATGTTGAAGTATGTACAGCTAGAGATTAATTTTATTCCAGAGAATACTTTAAACCAGAAGCTGATTGCTTAAGATAAAGTCATTTCAGGGACCTCTCTTATAGAAGCTTTTGCGACGCCCCAAATATTTACAGATTATTTTAAATGCCAACAGAGCACAACATATAAAATCACTCATTTTAAATCGGTAATCCGTTAAAACAATTGTACTTGTTTTCGAATAATAGGCTGTCCATCGACCACTGGAAATAATGGACAGCCAATTTGAGATATAGACATAACTATTGGAGACAATCCATATTCATTAATTTCGGCTTGTAGCAATCAGAATACAAAAACAAGAACATTCTCCTCCCAGGAGACAGCACTGCACACGAGCACAAGAGACACCAACCTCAGCTGAACAGACATCTTTCGTTGGGGGGTGCAGGATCAAAGGCGACCCATTCTATGATGTCAGACCTCAAAGCAGGAGAGCCACTCACCTGAAAAGACTTTATAAACGTCCACAAGAGGGTCCGGATGCCCTCCCCCCGGCTCAGCAACTTGACCAGCCGCATCACGCGGAACAGGCGGAAGAAGGTGATGGAGATCCGCGAACTGTCCTCGGTGTTCTGGGGAGAGTGAGCCGCCGTCAGTTCCCAACAGAGGGGAGGCATGCACAGCTCCCGGGGCCAGGGACAGAGCTTGGTAATGCTTTACAAGTGAGCTAGAAAACCTGCGACATGCTGCACGTGCCCCGACAGTATGACCTCTGCATGCCTTAGCATGAACTGTGTGTGCCTTTGGAGTTACAGTGCTGTCACTGCCCGCTGGTCTTGTAAGGACCACACCTGACACAAGCCACACTTCAGGCTCCACACAGAAACCTGTGTGCTTTGCTTTTTGTCCTGTAAAAGGCGGTACAATTTTGGTCTGTTACTAGACCAAATAAAACAGCCCCCTTTCAAGGACATTGCATCCTAATGAATAAAGTAATGTAATTAGGTACATATGAACTAATATGCATGAAGAACTGTTGTGGTGTCACTTCACGCATAAGACCAAAGAATGACCTTGATCAATGCTCTGTGCACGCAGTTTCAGGACGCCCAAAACTTCCTAGGCAAACTTTAAAATGACCTGCGTGAGACCTGAAACATGAGCAAGTTTTAGAAAATAGAGAAACTTTTCCTCTGATTACCTGTATAAGCAGGTTATTGGTAATAATGTCATGAACAGGTAAATATAATTTACACATATTTACCAAAGGATTGCTGCGATTGAACTGCAGGACGAATAAGATCAGTACTTAATCCAATTCACAGAAGAAAAGCTTTCTGTCACTTTAAACTTTTGACCTTCATGCAGTACGTGCCATTAGTTGATATGTAACTAAAGAGTATATTTTTAAGCATTACCAAGTGTTAGCGCTTTTTAAAGCTAGGAGAGAGACAAAAGAGGGAAATTAAGGTGCATGCTGTATACCTCTCCATACTTAGTTGCATTAATCTGCACAAGCATGGGTCCCTTTCCATAGGTAAAACATGCCGAGATAAGCTCAGACACTTCCCCTATCTATGAACCATTGGAAGCTCCAGGATCATGCATTTCTGAGGGTTAAAAAAGGTCCCGGAAGGGAAGATTTCTGTTCACACTCCCAGCCCACTGGAAAAACCAACTACTTTTTTTCCGCATTCGTCTTGAAATTCAACTACTTGGAAAAAAAAAGAAAAAAGGAAAATCTCAAAAGGAAAAAAAAACTTAAAATTTAAAAAGGTCAGAGCAGGTGAAGAAACATAAAAAAAATCTTAAGCTGACAGAAAACAAAACTGACGCAGGGGAACAGGTGGACAGCCTTACCCCAGACTCTCCAACTGGGGGACTTTCTGTTGGCTTTAAAATTAAAGAGCTGCATTAATGGCGAAAGGTGAAATGAGCTGGAGAAGTAATTGATTAAACAAATTCTCTTTAAATTCATGGAATGCAATTGTCTTAATTACTGACTGACAATGTATCAGAAGCATCTATAGTATACTGGAATAATGTAGATGGCCTGATGTGTACGGATCATGCCACCCTGCAGCTGCTTGGAGAAAATAAATTCCCTCTTCCATTTTACACCAAGTAAAAAACTAAAACCTTAAAACGGTATTTTAAAAAAGCATTTTAAATATGCATCAGGCCATATTCTGTATTGCCAGTCGCACTAGTTAATGCTGTCTGCACAGCAAATAACTACACATAAGCATATTTACTCCTTCAATTTAAATGTGAACATGGCAGAACAATTGGTTTGGTGTGGACAAGTGACGAGGACATCAAATAAATAGTTATAATTAATCCTTCAAATCCTCCTTTTTCTGATGTCTAGCTCCCTTGTATTCTTTGGGAGTGTTTCGATTACTGTAACCCTATTACACCCTATTAACCCTATTAACCCTATTAACCCTATTAACCCTATTAACCCTAACTGTTTTAAAAAACATAGTTCAGCTTCATGAGTGATTTTCAAATCCTGGTACTTTGTTCTGAGTGAATCAATATTTAAATAAAGCGAAACACTTTTTGCATACACACTGCTCATAAAGGACACGACATCCATGAGAAACGCAGACCATGAACATGACTGACTTGCAAAAGTGAATCAAATTTTTGAAATGGGAAAAAACAAATGTACTCATTAAAATACCAGGTTTCGAAAACACAGAGTACTTTTTGGATAGAATATTATGCTTAAATTTTGTATTCATTTTTAAAATATCAGATTTTTTAGATTTCAGTGAGAATTACATTACGTACTGTCTAAATTTCAAAATCTATTATTTGCTACATACAGTACAGTACTGTACCTTTTCAGAGTGAGATGTAAATGATAATGAGTATAAATCATAAGATGTATACTAGAATCAAGGTCTTTTCTACAAGAAAACCAGGTCAAACACTTACAGTATGAAACATGCTTTAGGCACAGACACATTGCAGACAAGCACTCCACGCAAGACACTTGAGTGATGAAGATGTTCTCTTTTGCATTGCAGCAATCCATGCAATTCTGATATGTCAATTAAGCACCGCCAAAGTGCCAGACTTGGGTTGTTTATGCAGATCGGTGCAGGTAAAGAGTAAGCAGTTTGCTTGAAGGCTTAACATATGCTAGCACTCCTGTGTCCCATGCATCTGACTGAATGCTACACACCTGATCCCTATACTTGATCTTCTTAAGCTAAAAGAGCTGACTACAGAAAAACAAAAGCAAAAGAAGCCAAATACGTCAGAGTTGAAAAACCTTTTAAAAACTTGGTATTTTATATCCTCATCAAGAATCATCATCAATAACACAACTGAAACTGAGAGAGTTAAAATGACAACTAGCCAACTAGCAATACCCATTGCTGGCCAAAACTATATTGTTCCAGAGAGAGATGTTAGAGCAGCACAGATTAAAATTGGCTTCTTTTTAAAGTATGTGCATCAGTTTCATGAGTGTACAATGTTTCATGTAACAGAAAAAAAAACTTAAGTTGTTTTGCCTTGTCTGGCAGTCAAGGAAATCTCTAAAGTGCCTCAATTTTATCTGTCACCAAGTAAATGTTCTGAATACAGAGATCTTTAGGATTTAAAAATGAAATGATCAGAAGGACAGAAGAACACCAAACTTTCATTTTGCGGTACACTGTTAATTTACCTAAACCACATTGTCACGAACAAGAACAGACATAAATGTGCAACTCATAACGCAATTTCCTTTCTCACAACTCAGAACGCAAGCTGGCGTGTCACAAGATATGCTGCCACAGAAGACACCAATTACGATGCAGTCTTAGTAGCAGGGCTTGTGCGGAACCACATCAAAAGAACACAAAGACATGCAAGGGAAGAGGTCCAAGTTTCTTTTTGGCTGAAAAGGAAGAGGTTGAAAGAAGGGAAGAAACTGCACGCTCTCCAATTCCACTCACACCACTGACCGGAGGGGAATGAAGTGGATGACCCAAAGCCATCTACAGTGAGTTCAGGGAACACAAAATGAATGTTACAAATATACATGGTGGAATGGTTCAAAACAAAACAACAACACAAAAACAACACAACAGCAAAAACTCAAAACACCCAACACTTTGACACAGCAAGGATGTGCATCATGCAGACTTCACCAAAAGGGAGAAGGGACGGATGAATTAAAGATTAGAGGCAGAGGTCTGATGTGATAACAGATGGGAGGCATGTGGCAACAAGGGAGAGGTCCTATCCATGATGGGGAGGACCAGATGAGTCACAAAGCCTTTCACTAAAATTCACTCAAGAAAGTAAAAACACCTAGAATAAAGATATAAAAAAATGAGCCTACTTCAAAACGTTGAACTGTAATTCACCGTTTTGCATTCCTATGCTACTCTGCCACGCAGTTCACAGTAAATGAGTATTTCTGCTTTGTGCACAAGGGCTCAACAGCACTATGCAGTGAAAGACCCTGTGAGAACGGTTCTGTGATCACTCCTGCACACAAACACGTACTGTACACCAACCCAGGGACAGAAAAACCACAAGCACTGCTCCGACATGCCATTTCAGTTAGAACACAGAACACCTCAAAAATAGAGTCCCAAGAAGTCATAAAAGGCTAAAAAATTAGCTTTGTGAATATGTTTGTACACTTCTTCATGTGTCTACAAAAATGTGGTGGGCAGGAAAAAAATGAAAATTTTAAAGTCTGCCCCTCACTGTTGTTATTGTCGGTGGCTTCTTCATGCCCTTCACATGTCTCCTTGATATAATCGTTCAGTTGTATCACTGTTCTTTTGATTCAAAATGTGCTGTGGTAAAAAAATAATGGCACTATTGAACGAACTGAGTGAATGGAATTATACTGTACGTGTTGGTAAAGATGTGCTAAGTGAATGAGAACATCTGGCTGTGAAAACTTTAATTAAATCGAAGACAAATTGTCTGAAGCTAAAAAGAATTGTTAAGTACAATCTGTGATGTTAAATGACCATGCAGAAAACCAGTTCATTTACTGTCATAGCAGTCATCCAAAATTTTATCCAGTCTTGGAAAAAAAGTGAGCTGTTACTGCACAAACTATGTAATATTTTTACGTTTAAGGTCTGAGAAAGTAAATATACTTGTACATAATCATTATCATCATTATATCATGATAATACCTCTTCTCTACACTTGCAAGAGCTGCAGCTATCAGAATCCTAACTTTTCAACTGAACAATCTGTTTTTTTACTCCTATATTTTCATTGTGAGCACAATTTCAATATGTTTTAAAAATGTTTGTTTGCAAATACAACTTCTTAATTCTTATCACTGCCTTTGCTCAAGACCATAAAACATTAGATGACCAACAATACATTAAAGTGTGTGTGGTGTAAAATTCCACTAAGATAATTGTTAAAAAGCAGATTACAAGCACATCAAAAATGTCAATTTTCCTTTATACTTGCCTCTACAAGTTTCTAGAAGATAGAATGGATATGAACAAATATTAGACAAATATCTTTGGAACTCGATAAACCAACATTCAGAAAAGAGACAAGTATGAATGCTTTGACAGACAATTTTCTGTAATGAAGAATGTTCTTGCACAATTGCACAATTAAATACACAGACCTTACAAACAGAGCAGAAATATGCAACACCAATACATATACGCGACGTTACAAACAGTGACGTTAAACATTCAGCATGGTTTTCTTTCTCGGTATTTCAAATAAATAAAATTCACTAAACCGATACTGATGCAAGTTTGATGCTATCTTCCCTGCAAACAGGCATCAGCACTATATAATTGTGGGTTACAGTGCACGATGACTGGGATAGTGCCAAAGTGATAGAAGAAACAAACAGCTTCAAGTTTCACAATCAAAATCAACAGAAGCTATGAAAGATTAAAACATTCAACATTTTGGAACCTTGTATGATGAAAAGTACTGATAATTGAAAAAAATATTGAGATTAAAAAATGATATTTTTCTTGCTTTTACTGTACATTAATATTTCAGTATGTATCCATCCTGCATGGAGAATATAATCACACCTTTATGTCGCTGTAAAAATGCTGGAATCTATACAGTGTAGGGAGTAACATAACAAGGCATTATTTGGGGATATTTGTTTTTAAAAAGCTCCAAAAATATTACTAAAATATACTTACGTTTACTTCTGTGATAGCAATATCAACGACGCTACCAACAACAATTAAGGCATCGAAAGTGTTCCATGCATCAGTAAAATAGTGCTGTTAGTTCACACAACCGAGGAAAGCAGAAAGAGAGGAAAGAGAGGGCAGAGAAAAAGAGAAAAAAAGTTAAGAAGAGGTGTTAAAAGGCATTAGGATTCACAGATACAGCAGTACAGTGGGTCTCTCTTTGGTCTAGCCGGACTGCCCTCTCCAAATGCCTGCAAGTTTAGCTCAAAAAAAGAAGGAAGAAAAGTTGTGAGATGAGAAAATTGTAGCCCAGTGACTTGTCCAGGACAGGGTGAGTAGATTAAAGGAAGAACGGGGCAGGGTGAGGGATACTCACATCTATTTCACTGAGAACGATGTCTACTATGCTGCCAATAACGACGAGGGCATCAAACACGTTCCAGGCATCTCCAAAATAACCCTACACAAAGCAGCCAGATGTAGATGGGGGGTTGTGGGATAAGGGAGGGTGGACAGAAATTCAAACAAATAGGTAGGGAGAGTGCACACTGAAAAAGGACACAGACCCCTTCTAATTAAATCAGAAGCATGCTTCAATGAAACAAATATCTGCCCCCATCCCAAAAAAGAAATCCATATATATACACATACTGTATATATATGCAAACATATACAAACTCAAACACATGCATCCATCTGTTTGACTTCTCATGTGACAGATCCAAAGATGTATTTTTAAATATTTCTTAGGTGACTTTTTCTGCACTGTTCAGTCATGTTGGTCACCAAAGTGCAGTTCTTTAAGGGCTTTATCAAAACTGAAACCAAATCACAATGCCTGTATGCATTAAACTGAAATCTTACGACAGGGCGTCTTATGGGCTACACACATACAGTAGAAAACCAGGAAAAAATCAGCCTGGCTTTGAAATTTTGTATAAAAGTTTCATTTCTTTTCAGGATGTAAGCAAACACAAACCACTCTGCTGTTAATGAAGTGGTAACACTAAAGCAGGATGATGACGCAATGCAAACATCTGACATGCACATTTTGGGGCCAAGGAATGGAGTGGAACTGTCATCTTGTATGCGTAATGTTACTACATTCAGGACAGCTTCGTTTTTCTGCAAGCGTGATAACTGTATGCATCTGATCTCATTAACAGTGCAGTTACAGTAGGAAGTGCATCTCACTTCCACTGGCAGAGAATTATTCTTTTTTTCCTTGTGTTTTATAATAGAACTTGTTGGAACAAGAACATTTTACTCATATTTTTAGGGTAACATTAATTTGTATGCGACTGCATTTAAAAAAATCCAAGGAGAAAAAAGTCTATATATAATTGCTTATATACTGTATATGATCATAAACAGACCTCTTAAGGGAAACTTGGGGAATTGTCTAATGGACAAGTCACTTTATCCTACACATCTCATGCAGAATAAAAATTTCCACCCACTCCAAGCAGTCCAGGTTAACTTACTGGCCATCTGTCCTTTTTCTCCACAAAAATCTGTTGTAAAATGTTGAAATGATTGTCATTATCCCTTCTGCAGGTAAGAAACTTAAAGAGTTTGGGTTGAAAATTGACAATACTACAGTGTAATCTAAGAAATAACTAAAATTGACCTTTTAAAGGAGTATCCAGATACACATAAAGCAATAAAAAATGTTATTATACTAAATAAGAAAAACTCCCAAGTGTCTCACACTGTAAAGCCAGTTACCCAGCACGCTGAGTGGGTTTTGTAATCCAGACACCCCTGGTTTAAATCTGAATTATATCAATAGCTGACTGCAACAAGGATTCTCCATTGGTGGTGCATAAAAGAACAAGTGGCATCACGAAGGAATTTTGAGTCAGTCCAGGGCCCCTTGAATTGTTGCACGAGAATGCGACTGCATCAGTATTCCACTGGATGCCACCATAGATTCAATAATAAAGCTTGCAATAATAAAATAATAAAACTGGCGTATGGTTCAACTGTGTACATTTCAGAAGACACTTCAGTCAACTTCATCTCCCCAGTACTCCGACAAGGACTTGAGCTCCGCTGACTAATACAAGCCATTTCAAAGAGCCGAATATGAGCAGATGAGAGATGATCATTCCAAATGGCAAATAAATAAGGCCAAAACTGGACTGTGACATTTTATTAACATTTTGTTTTCTTTTAAGGGGGAATGTAAACCTTTATGGTGGTTCCAGTCCTTCAAACTCTGCTGTCGCCTGATACTTTTGAATTATATGCCTGCCCTTTATGGAATCACCACTTGTTCAAGATTTGACTTTCTGGATAAAAGATCCTGTCATTTGCTTTATGTACCACCAATTCACCCAGGGAGCCAATCATCTTCTGACTCGCTACAAGCTTTACAGAGCGTCTCTTTGTCAGTAGCAACGTCAGTAAGAGGCTTCAGGAATCACTGTTTTTCAGAGATGAAGACTCAGCACTGCCTGTTAGTTGTTTGGCGCCGCTGGGGGAATCCCAGTCAGAGCTGGCTGTTGAAAACGTTTTAGCCATTTAACATAGTCTTCAAACTATGTAAAAATCAATGGATATTAGTTCAGAGTGTTAGATGCTGTTAGAGTAGAAAAAGCACAAAATGCATATTACATCTCCGGGTCCATCAGGTTTCGTTTAAGTTCAAAAAGTTAGCAACTTGTGGTGTGTGAGTGTCTATAACGTGCCACCAGGCAGTCATAAAGAAATCACTTACCCTTGGTTTAAAGGCTATTAGTTTCAAAACCATTTCCACAGTGAAGACTCCTGTGAAGACCATATTGAGGATATCCATGGCGTAATTAAAAAGAGGCGACTGCCCATAGTGCTAAAAGGGAAAAGAAAACAGCTCAAATGATAATTATTTTCTGGTAATTGATTGCTTTAGAAAACTCAATTTAGCAGGAATGAAGCTGCATTTTTTTCGAAATAACATTCCGTTTAGAAAATAAAGCACTGCAGAGTTACAGAGGTGCTGCCATACTCATGTTTTCCAACACTAAAAACTGAGCTGTGGGCTCCCAGTTCCTACATGTGGGTTATATTTTTTTTCTAACAAAACAAATCTTAAACATGTTTGTTTAAAGCGTGATGATTGCCCAAATTAAACATCCAATCGGCAGCAGTGGTAGGTATACACTTATTTGCACACATTCTTACCTGAAGAAGACATTTTCTTAAAGCTTATTAATATCAAATATAAAAAATATGAATACATATAACATAATATGAAATGATAAGCTGGGCATTCTACGAGCTCCTAGGTGTCTGTGATCCACTACAGATACACAGGCACTGCCTAACCCAAAGACTGCTTGACTTAAAAACTCAGTAGGAAAGGTAGCGGTAAGCACAGCCCCCCCTGCACAGAACAGCTCTTACCTGCATGGCCAAGCACAGTGTGTTGAGCATGATGAGGACAAACATGATGTACTCAAATCCAGTAGAGTTCACCACATACCAGAACTTATACTGGTAAGGGTTTTTAGGGATGTATCTGCGAAGCGGACGAGCCTTCAAAGCGTATTCCACACACTGACGCTGTCAGGGATTAGAAGAGCAACACGTTACACACCTTTCACAATCTCTGTGCCACAGATCATCCCAAACATGATCGCTTGGGGCAGGTGGCCATCATAATCAAAAACCAGCACTGCCTTGAGTCAAGAGGAAGCTGGAAGAAAGAAAAGTAAAGTTTTAAGATGCTGCTTTCAGCACGAGGGAGACTCCTACTGTAGTCTCTTAAAAGCCTCTTTTAAAAGTAGTAAATCCAGTGATCTTGGAATGTAACTAGAGCTACTAACCCCAAAATGTGAAATTTTAGCCAGAACATGCTAACACCTGTTTTATTTTAAATAATGCATTTGAGATGAAGGGTTATATTCATAGAACTTTTTGTGTACTACTTCACCTCCTAATGAGTATGTGGTTGGAAATTTCTATACAAAGCATTCAGAATTTCACTTACTAAATATTGCTTAACTTTGTGTTTTTGTGATTTTAAGAAACTTTAAAAATGTTTTATATACATAAACTGGTGCTGCTTAATATTGCATTTCCTTGTCATTGCAGATTACATGACCATAGGGTTTAAAAACACCCTTACTTCAAAAGATAAACCAGCAATAATTACCCTGCAACGATCAATTGCAGTTTAAACAAATGTACATCTGTTGCAAAAGGTATAAACAAGATTTCTGGCAGAACAGGATGTTATCTAACACAAAAACTAGACAGAAATACAGGTATGTATACTTCTGCAATATAAGAAAAGTATAAAGTAGTGCTTAAAAAGCAGGCTAGTATTGTCTCACCCTAACTAGACATTTTGTTATGACAACATGTTTATCAGAAAAAATCCTGACCCTGATTTATCAGAACACAGCTGACACACATTTCGTAGTATCCAGGAACCGATGGATATTTTGATAGCGCAGACACAGTTTATCAAACTAATCTCACCTAGCAACTTTAGAACATACAGTACAGGTCAAGAACATTAGGCTTAATTATACACAAATATTGAGCAATAGTATCACTGCGATACTAACTGAAATACTGGTTTGTTTTTATCCCACTTGGCAGAGAGAATAAAAGTCATAAGGCCAAGGTCACCAAAATATCAAACTGCCAGCGCAAACTTTGAACCACTATACAGATACTACTTTCACGAACAAAGAAAAGGCAACAAATTTGCCAATTCAAAAATTTTACTTTTTTGCATAGAGAACCCTCCAAGAAATGCACCAACAACAATGCGCAGTAATCAAGGCTGCATAGCTTAGAAGCAACATGATTTGATAAAGGGAGAGGAGGGATCTAACAAGGCTGTAGCAATGAGAATAGACAGAGACCTGGATGAGATTTTTGTACAGCATGAGATCAGCAGGACAGTTTGAAAATAAGAAACTACAAGTGCCAGTTGAAGAGGTAAGTGGAAGGACCACGGTCTGGGAGAGGACGTCTGCTGGGACAGAGACTAATGGTGAATACCAGTGATAACCGCAGCCAAGACACAAGCAAGCTGAGGCTGATCAGGGGGCAGCAGAGCAGTGGAGAGTGAGGAGCAGGAAGGAGCTGAAAACACATGAAAGTGGACCAAAGAGCCTGTGTGTTAAGCGCTGCCGACAGGCTGGGCGGGCTGGACAGCAGATCGGAACGCTGCAGAAAATCCGAAACGTGAAAGTGGGGTTGGTAAAGAAGAGAGCTCTAAGCAGGTCAACACCTGAGCACGGGAGGGATTCAGTAACTGATGAAGACCAGAGGAAGAAGAAGGAAGGGCTATAACAGTGAGTGAAGGTGTTGATGCAGCAGCTCAAGGTAACAGAAGAGGAAAGACAATTGCAGAGACACTTAAGAAGAGTAAAAATATGAGTGATTACAGCAGGTGGAGCCAATTTGCTAGGGAATATTACCATCTGTGAGGAGTGGGTCACATATAAATACAGCAAGATAACATTATACTCTGCTGCATACATTTATAGCAGGCTTTTTGAAACTGGTACAGTGAATTACTGTATTACTCTGTAATAATTCACTCCGTACACACAGAAAAAGAAGGGGATAGGCAATGTCTCTGTCTAGCTTTCTCCATAATAAATATTTAGCACCCCCTGATGGGGATTTTCAAGTGTTTGCAAAAAAAAAAAATAATTGTATTGCAGTACAAGTATAAGGGACATTATCTTACACATAGTACATAGGATTTATAGACCTTCAACATCCAACCCATGGCTGACAGTTACAAAATGGGGTGATTCAGCTACTGACCTGGTTTTTGTCCAGTTCACAGTTCTTATACTCCTTTTCTCCCTGCTCCTGGAATGTGACGATGACAAAACCCACGAAGATGTTCATCATGAAGAAGGCAATGATGATGATGTAGATGATGAAGAAGATCGATATCTCCACACGGTAATTGTATATAGGCCCCACATTCTCTCCGTTAGAGTCTATTGCTTTGTACAACAACCTGCAAGATATAAACGACAGGGGTAGGCGGAAGAAAAGAGGTGCCCACGGGGGCCGTAAAGTCAAGGTTGCCACTGTCTTTTACATCATGATAAAACTGTGGTTCAAACATTAGAGGACCTGGCTATGCACCCATTCATTTACAGTGCCACAGAATCCATCGACTAAGAAAGTGTTGCATTGTTTTAAGTAGACGAATTCCTAACTTCATCAAAACGATTCAGCGTGTTTAAAGGACAACCTTGACATGGCTATCAAACGGGGTAAGATAAAAAGAAAAACCCTCACGCCGGCCAGCCTTCAAAAGTGGAGACAGTGAAGAGGGCCATCATGGCTGTCAGGACGTTGTCGAAGTGAAATTCACTGTTATGCCAGATCCTTTCACGGATCATTGGGTGATTTACATCGCCATCCTTATACAAAATGTAGGTCCCCCTTTTGAAGAAAGGATAAAGTTATACACACTGAACAAAGACGGGTTTGCACAAGCAAAAATCAAGTACAAATGCTCTAAGTATACCACATAACAGGGCTGTCACACGCACATGTCCTGTGCCAGCCGGCTTTCAGTTCAGTTCTCTTGACTAACTGTCCTGTTCCACTGTGTACTGAGTCGATTGAGCCAGTTTCACAGTTGTCGAGATGTTGGATGATATAAAGAAAACTACAAAACCTTCTAGACAATGGCCATCCCGGACAAGAAGTGAAGGACCTCCAGACTTGGTCATTTTTGTAGATATCCAATGCCACTTTTTCTGACCATAATCCAATTTACTAATTATGAAACTTACAAGTTGAACTTACTTGCATTCTTCTGGAGAGGACTTTGCTTCATCTGTGCAACGGTAGAACTTTCCCTATGATATAAAAACAGGACTTTAAAACTACAGACCCTTAGAAGTCGCCAAGGTCGTTTTAATGATATCTTGTTAAAAAAATAACGTTACCTTAAATAGTTGTACTCCTATACAAGCGAACATGAACTGCAGTAACGTTGTGACAATCATAATGTTACCAATGGTTCTGATGGCAACAAACACACACTGGACCACGTGCTGTGGAGAAAAACAACAGCAGGACAAGGTTGGTGTTCAGATGCAAAGTTGAAATGAAAATCTCACACTTCAACTGCGCTTACTGTCTCAACCATAATGTGAAAGAACACGAGGTTACAAAAAAACAGATGCGGCAATCAAAGTGTTGTTTTGTTTTATGACTACGTAAATAATAACTCAAGTATCTTTCAAAGTCGACAATCTTTAATTTCTTTCTTTTAGAAAGATTTCCATAAAAGCTTATAATGGCATCTGTAGGACAGTTGTTTAAACTGCACAATATATTTTTTTGTTGCTTTGCATGTAACTCTTTTTTTTTAGCTGCTTGTACTAAAAGAGATTGTTTGTTGGACTAATGAACGTTAAACACGTAGGCAGCAGTGGTTGAGGGCTTTGGATCCGAGAAGAGACACCGCTGTCGTTCCCTTGAGCAACTATTCCAGCAAGAAAACCCAGCTGTGCACTTGGGCCCAATTGCAAGTCACTTTGAATAAGAGTCCAGCCAAATAAACTAGCAAAAAATAACTGAGTGAACTAGTACCACTATCACAAAGACTAGGCAATACATAAGAGGATGGACCTTGAGGCCTTTGGCTCTGTTGATTGCTCGCAGGGGCCTCAATACGCGGAGCACTCGCAGAATCTTCACGACCGAGATGGCAGAAGACCTGAGAGCCAAACACAAGACAGTTACAGCTCTTTTTCCACATCACGCTCCCTGGCCGGGGCGTCGGTCATGCAACAGCAGCCACTTCCAGCGCTGATCGACGTGAAATCTTTCTCGTGGGGATGTGAACGAAGTCTTAAGTTTATGAACTGTTTGAGCTCTAAGCACATCACGGTAGCAATGACCTTTTTAAACAGCAGAAAAACCTGCACATCCTGTGTCTCCAGTTCACATTTCTGAGCCCACTTCTTAGCAGTTTAGCAACTTTGTCAATTTTCTGTTTTGTTGACGCAAATAGGCAATATTTAACTTTGTTTCAGCATCTCATGGTATTATTTTATTAAAAAAACATTTTTTTTTCTAAAACTGCTGTTTTAGAAATGTGGAAATCGTCTACCCACAAGAAATTATCATCATCTTTAATCATATCAAAGTCAGGCATGATGATGGAAACGGAAACACTTACTGAATCCCAAAGGACACCAGGGAAACTCCCACTACCAGCAAATCCAACAAGTTGAAATAATTTCTGCAGAAAGCCCCTTTGTGAAGGAAAGCCCCAAAGGCTGTCATCTGAAAGGAGGAACAGATCGAAAAGATTAAAGATCCGTCTGCAGCTCATACCTTGATAAGATCAGCTTTAGATCTGACACGCATGTAATAAAAGCACAGAACCTTCACCTTTGCAGGGTAATGCATAACAGTAAAGACAACAGCTCTGAGCTAAAATGCCAAATCTACAGCTGTATTGACATGAATGTAGTAGCAAGTGATTTATTTTGTAATCTGCTCAATATTCAAAGCATGGTTCAGGGCAATAAAACGTGCAGTTTGTTGCCACCTGAAAAACAAAGCAAGGAAATGCACTAGTGACCGAAGCAACAGCATCAAATAAAATGAATCCCTTACTGTCACATTCATGTACACTGATATTATAGCACTTTTTGTAATTTGATAAACGCAAATGAGGTATAGAGTTCTCGGAAGGAAAATATAGAAGTACAAATTCAGCAAGCGGTTTGGAAAGTAAAAAAAAAAAGGCAAAGCATTGTAAATAATAAAAGACAAGGAATCTGTCCACAAGTGCATGTAAATTGTTATTTTTCTGCAGTAGAACCTCATTCAGTTTCAGTATATCTAAAGTTGTCACTGACATTATATTGATACAAAATGCAAATCAGCAAAGTTCTGCTAAGGAGGTTGTACTGCACAGCGCTCTTTGTGAAATGATTTATATGCACTTACCGGTTAGGATAGCATAGTAAACCATGTATAAAGTTCCTGGAAAGCACATGGTTCTTGCTCCCTCTTTTATTATTAAACAGCAGTAAAAATGGAGTGCTGTGTGATTTTAACTGCATTCAGGTTTCAAATGATTCTGTCAACGCTATAAACCCGACTACAGTTAAAACAAAAAAATCTGTTTTTTTTATTCCTTCCTAAATTGCAAAACATAACGCACTTCAATATACATAGAGAGCTGCGTTAGTATGGACTGTACTGTGGGCACGGCAAATTCACACACTGCATGCTACTTTAATGATACTGTCTGTTTCTTTTATTTTCATTTGAAAAAAAACAAATTTGGATTGACAATTTTAATGCAGTGCACCGTATTAGAAAGGACACACACAGTATATTAAAACCACACTGATGTTTAATGTTAAGCCTGATAATGATTTCCTGATTTTAGTTTAAAAGAGGTGCCATGGTAAAAGAAAAAGAAAGACAAGCCAGGTTCCATTCAATGGCAGGAGACACACGAGGATAATGCAACAAGGCTCCCGTTGTCAAAAAGGTGTTACCTTCAATACGATCTCAAATGTAAACATACTAGTGAAGACATAATCTGCATAGCCTAGGACCTGAAAAGTAATCAAATGGTTAAAGTATTATTGCATAAGCACTTTACACAGAACACAAGAGATGGGGGAACAATGCATTACCTTCAACAGGATTTCAACAGTAAAGATTGTCGTGAAAGCATAGTCAAAGTAACCAAGTATCTGGAAAAGCAATATAGATGTTTAACAAAAGTCCAGTGCAGTAAGCAAAACAGTAAGGTTACAATATTATCCTAGTATTAGATAAGCTACTATCCTGTCAACTTAATTCTAACCAGTGTAAACTCACAATGCACGTTTTGAAATAAGATTCCCTTCACACTTCTTATCATCCCCAGATCCTCTCACATTGTGCTAAGCACAAATGCCTCCTTCTCTTGCCTGAATCACTTTACTGTATGATCTTCCTACTCTTAAAAAGTAAAGACATAACTGCAGAAAAAGCAACAGAATATCTGAGGAAAATCTGTCAAAACTGATTTTATCACGTTATTAAAATGTAATGTATAAAAAAAGTTCTGAGAAGACGAAATTTCTTCACAGTATTGATATTAGCTGGAAAAACACTTTTTGATATCCACCAAATTAGCTGGAAGTTTCTAAGCAATAAACAAACTATAAAGTGGTACAAGATCAGCATTTCTCACAAAGGACATTTATTCTATGTGGGAAGGCAAATTCTCAGACAATATAATTCATGACATCAATCCAACTACCTGTGCCTCACAATTCTGTGACAATTTGGCTGTGGTTGTGAGTGGGTTTCAAACAATCGCCCACAACTGTTCTATAGTACATACTGTTACATTAAAGCTTCCTTCTCTGCAAAAACACTGTATTATAAGTCACTTCAAATAGATCTCACTGCAAAAAGTGGGATTATATAGTCTTAATGCGGGGTTTTAAGTTTTCTTTGAAAATAGAATAATAAGATTAACTTTAAGCCAAGCCTCAACAGTGTTAAGCTACAAAGGTAAAGAAATGGCATAGCAGGATACACTCCCAAAAAAAACCCACAAAATAAACAGATCTGTTACATACCTCTTAAATTACATTAATAAAAAAATTAGCTGGAAGTTTATAAGCAATTGTGATTAATGTGAATAAAACGTAAGTATAAAAAATACGATATTGAATGCACCATTAAAAAAATCATTTTTCATTTCACATATACATGGTGCAACACATCAATTTTGTAAATTAAAGGATAATATTTACACTTATGCAGGAAACTGTTATGCAAGGAATAATGTCTCTTTTCATATAATAAACTAACCTGTTAACAGTTATGTATACAACACCCTATAAATGAGCAGTCAAGCCCTTAAGGTTGGTTTTGACTTACAATGTTTCGAGCTGAAAAGTTGCGAATGGGATCCTCAGCTGCTAGAGAAACACTACTAAGCATTATGAAGACCAGGATGAGATTTGTGAAAATATGGTGGTTAATGAGTCGATGACATCCAACTCGAATTCTGAAACACATAACAGAAAGGTTTATTATGCAATACAGCACACTAGTTGTACACATTGTGATCAACATTGGTGGTGGTGGAGGGGAGTCCCCATTACCTGTAAAGCGCTTTGAGTGGAGTGTCCAGAAAAAAGCGCTATATAAGTGTAAGCAATTATTATTATTATTATTAAAATACACAACAATTCTTATGTAAAGGCAGAGTATGGAGAAATAATAATAATATTAATTGCTTACACTTATATAGCGCTTTTCTGGACACTCCACTCAAAGTGCTTTACAGGTAATGGGGACTCCCCTCCACCACCAGTGTGCAGCCCCACCTGGATGATGCGACGGCAGCCATAGTGCGCCAGAACGCTCACCACACACCAGCTATCAGTGGGGAGGAGAGCAGAGTAATGAAGCCAATTCATAGATGGGGATTATTAGGAGGCCATGATTGGTAAGGGTTATTAGCAGATTTTGGCCAGGGGTTACACCCTACTCTTTTCAAGAAACGCCCTGGGATTATTAATGACCACAGAGAGTCAGGACCTTCATCCTTCAGGACCGAAGGACAGCGCCTGTTTACAGTATAGTGTCCCCATCACTATACTGGGGCATTAGGACCCACATGGACCACAGGGTGAGCACCCCCTGCTGGCCCCACTAACACCTCTTCCAGCAGCAACCTTAGTTTTTCCCAGGAGGTCCCCCATCCAGGTATTGACCAGGCTCACACCTGCTTAGCTTCAGTGGGTTGCCAGTTGTGAGTTGCAGAGTGATATGGCTGCTGGCAATAAGAATAGGCCAGAAAATAAGTTTTTTTCAGCATTTTCAAAACGGAGCCTTCAGTCCTAAGACATAAAAATAACTAAGACGCTCAATTAGAGTGTTATTAAAAAGCACAAGGTTATGCAAAAGTATGTAAATAATAACGAATACAATAATTACAGATTTCATTAAACAAATGTGCAAAGTGCATTAAAACCCATAACTTCCTGACATGAAAGCATTGTGGGAAGTGGATTAATCGACCTCCCCGTGTTGTTGAAGCAGATACCCTAGCTGGGTGAGACCCTTCAGTCAATGAGCTATTAGCGACTGTACCAAACAGGCTAGATTATGCTGAATGGCCTCCTCTCGTTGATAAACTCATGTGGTCCTCAAATTGAATGCATCGGAAAGGAATGTCTCCAGCTGTTGAGAAAGACCTGCTGTGGGACGAGCCGCCAGCGAGAGACTTACGGGTTGGTACTGCTGAAGATGAAGAACGAGCTGCCCTCTGGAATGGGGGTGATCTTCTCCTTCATGTTCAGCTCAGAGATTCTCTGGGGCCGGGGCCCGGCGGGCACCTCTGGCTCTTCCTCGTCATCCTCACCTGCAGGACGGCACAAAAGCACCGGCACAAAAGCACCGTGAGCACCGGGAGTGTGCCGACACAAACGGCAGCATTAAGACAGTGCTCCGTGACTAAAACTGCACAGCAAGGAACACGCATCAGAAACCACCTGTTGGGATTACATCATGGACACAATACAATGGTCTTCTGTGTCTACTGTACTGTACAACGGTCTAAAAAATTGTAAAAACAGGAACGGCTATTTTCACTATATTTGGAACGTTTAGGACCTTTGAAGGAAACACTTTGCAGTCAAGTGTCTTTTTCAGCCTATTACACTATGCAATGTTGGTCCTATACATGAATAGTGTACATCAGTGGTTCTCAAACTGTGGTTCCCAGATGACCCTGGAAATTTGTTGTGTGCACTGAAAAAGTGAGAGTTAAAAATTGAATAATTAAAAATTGACTTAATCAGATTCAGAAAGCTTGAGACGGGTTTTCATATTTGCTATTTTAATAACAGTTGGATACTTTGGTTTGATCAGGGGTGGTATTTGGTCCAAAAAGTTTGAGAACCACTGGTGTACTGTACATAGTACATAATACAACAAAAATCAGGCCATTGATATAATTATATCATAAAATGGTATACAGAAAATTCAACGTGGATACTCAAAACTGCATAAGGTAAATTTGCTTATTGCAAGGGATTACTCTATTCACCACAAGATATTTTTTTTCAAAGATCCCTTCTAAAATCATGGTACATCTTACACAACAGCACACAAAGATATGATTTATTCTGAAGAGGAGGATGGACTGGGATTCAGCACATCCTTAAAGGAGATCTTTACCTGGAGCATCTTCAGCTGGGTAAGGATCTTTCTCTTCCTCTTCTTCCTCATCCACAGGCACCTGCAATAATCCGTCCCCAAAAACAAAACAGGTCACGGTTGAACCCTGATAAGGGCAGACTCGGTTATACCTGTGCACAGTCAAACCCGTCTGTGCTAACGAAGTTCTCCACGCCGTGTGTTTGTCTGGTTTTAACTTGAGCATGATGTTGACCAGCCAGAAAGAAAGAAAGGGGGTAAGTAAAAGTTTAGATTCTGCTGAGAGGACAACGTAAAATCATATTTTTCAGGAGTGTAAGCGGGCTGTAGATTCAGACAAGAAGAAGACCCTTGTCTGATTCACATTTCCCAGAATGCTGTGGGGGTACGGGATGCTGCCCCCAGTCACCTGACCGATTCTGAGAAGGTGGCCGGTCTGGTGATGGTATAAAAATCAAGAATTATAGGCTTCAAGGGTCAATTTATCTGGACAGAGGTCTGATTCTATGTGGGCTCCCTACCGAAAAAGAAATCTGAAACATGCAAACAACCTAGAGACCAAGAGACAATGAGTTTCAGATATAGAAACCTGCATTCAGATAGTGTTTTATTATCCAGTAAGCAGCTTGTGAATGCCTAGGAATACACATAATGAGGGACTAATGATAAAATACCATTAGCAGCTCAAAGAGGAACTAGGCTTTTATTCTGAGTTGATTTTTTTGTTTTCCCACAGTGTATATCTACTGCTCTTTATGACTCTGTTTTTCTGTTTTCCTCTCTATTTTATGTTAATTGTGTCAGATAGAGAAAATGAAGTGACCCTTGAATGCAGTGGCCCTGACACTGAAGATGCTAAAGATGATCCCTACTACATGGGTAAGTGACACCAAGCCAAGTGACTGCGTGTTTCCCAAGAGCTATACAAACACATGAAAACACTTTTTTTCCCCCGTTTCCTTTCAATGTTAAATAGGAAAAAAACAAATGAATGAAAGTGAAATCCAAAATAAACCTCTGGATTTGCCTAATGATTTTTCTATACAGTCACATTTGTTACCAAACAACACATGAGTGGTTAAGTCAGTTACCTTTGCATCAGGTGCTTTGGCATCAGAAGTCTCTTCTTCCTTTTTGTCTGAGCTCCCGGTTCTGAGATTAAAAGAAAAAAAGCAAAATGTTGATAAATCTGATATGAAACACTTATGAGGTGAAGAGGTGAAGGGGTTAAAGCTTTTGATCCCAGAGAAAAAAAATCAATGAAATTTCTCTCCAAGTATGAAATACCTATCAAACTGGAAACAAATAAAATGTGTAGATTTTTAAACCATCAACTCAATGCAATGGAGCAAAACGGCTTTAAAAGCAGCAATGCAATGATTTCCATAAAAATATTTTCTGATTGTCCTGGTATCCTTTTCTTGAACAGTGGGCCATGTAACCTTCCTATCTTTTCCTCTGCAAATCAACAAGAATAAAACCCTAATTTTCCTACCTGGCACTTTTCTTCCTTTCCTTTTCCTCAGCCTCTTCTTGCTGAGCTGTATTCAGGCTCTCAGCGTCTGCCAGGTTGTCCACAGCGATAGCCAAGAAGACATTCAGGAGGATGTCTGAGTAAAACGGGTTTAAGGAAAATCGATGCCTGATCCATTTACCGTTATTAAGCAGGAAGAAAGGAAGGTGCGATCCCAATTTCTGGAATTGTAGAAGGATACAGTTACCACAGATAAACAGGATAATGAAGTATATGCAGACTATCATTCCCGAGGAGGATGGACCACCATACGCCATTATCCCATCATACATGACAACATTCCAGTCTTCACCTGTTAAAATCTTAGCAAGCCACACACAGTCAATAAGGCTGCTTAATTAAAAATACCTTTTTACAACACAGAGCGGGGAGAGAGGGAGCTGGCGCAGAGGATCCTGGCGAACCTCAGAGGGAGGCCGACGCACAATGTTGCCCAACGGGGCTTCTCCACAGCGAGGGAGCGCTGGAAGGGACTGTGGGCCCTGTACAGGGACTAAAGCAGATATCCCTGCTCCCCCAGCTCCTGTGGAGGACTGTACGACCGCAGTTTCAGAGCCGGGACAGGGACATGGCACGGACAACAGCAAGTGGTAGGGCTTGGAGGGACTCTTTCATTGTGCAAATCCAGCCCCATCATGCACTTGCACTGATTGATAATGGACAATCACCCGATTCAGAAAGTTTTTAACTGATATCAGTGTTAATTTGTTAGAGTCTTTACTTATTGTGAGATGTTTTTGTGTAAAATAAAGTTTATTGTGATAGAAAGTTACCTGGAACACTGTGAGCAGAGACTGGGGAAAGTTGTCAAAAGTGCTCCGTTTGGTTTGTGTTTCGTCAAAGTTGAACTTGCCCCCGAAGAGCTGCATCCCCAGCAGGGAGAAGATGATGATGAAGAGGAAGAGCAGGAGCAGCAGCGAGGCAATGGACTTCATGGAGTTCAGCAGGGAGGCCACTAAGTTACTGAGTGACGTCCAGTGACTGAAACAGCACAATCCCCTCCATTAAGCAAAGGGTGGCTCATGATACAGAAACACCACATCACCAGGTCACATTTTGTAAAAGACTTTCAACGCTGTTTATAAAGTCAGGAAAAAGAACCGCGTGCAGTGCAGTAAAATGTGATTATCGGTATTTAGACATGCTTATTAGAGGCATATTTTAAAACAAAAATTGGTTTACAAGAGGGGGTAGTGTGAAAAACAAAAGGAAAATTTAATTACCCAGTTTAACTTCCTTTTTTTTTTTCAAATGCACCATTTTCTAACTATGATCAGGAAATTTAATGGAACTGAAATTCATGCACATAACAATAATCGTACCGTGTTACTTTGAAGATTCTTAAAAGGCGGACACATCGAAACACCGAGATTCCCAGCGGCGACATGATTTCAAGCTCCACCAATATTGTTTCTACAATCCCACCACACACGACAAAACAGTCGAAGCGATTGAAGAGGGAGACGAAGTACGCCTGAAGACCCAGGCTGTACATTTTAACCAGCATTTCACAGGTGAACAGGGCCAGGAGAACTTTGTTTGCAATGTCTGTAAGCGAAATAAACACAACATTATTCCAGTATTATCCAGTACCAGCATCGGAGTTCATCAAGTGATATGCAAGTAATCTCCATGCACCTCCTGTACAGAAAGGATAGTTTACTGCGCTGGCAGTTTGTCAATAATCTCTTTGACATAAACCACTTTGTTTTCAGCCCCTTACCTTGGACTTGAGTGAGCCAGTTAGGCTGGTTGTAGTGTTCAGAGGAGATGGTGAGAGTGTTCAGAAACACCAGGATGATGACGAGCCAATAGAATGTGACCGATTTCACTGCCGCTCTGCATTTCCTGCGGCAAAACCTATTCCAGCGACGCCAGCGCCGACTGAGGGGTGAGAAAGAGATGTCAAATGAGCAAGAAAAGCCCACTTCCTTACCATTGTGGCCAAGCATGCACAGTACCAGCGCAATGTTTTCAACTCTTAGTATTTGGAACTATACAGTTCTCATTCAGTATTCAGATAAACTGGCACTTGAGTACAGTACCACTTCAATCTCTGTGGTTCCCCTAAGCAAGTGTGTCCCTGCTTGTTTGCCTAGAGATTGATCAGGAAGGAGCTTAACCCATATTCTGCAGCATCAAGGAGACAGAGTGTGAGACTGGCCCAAAAATAAATTATTTTCCTCATTCACCTTCTTCTCCTTTAAGTAGCTGAGATCTGTTATTAACAGTAACTAACAGTAACAGAACATTTCTGCCTTCAGGAAATTTGATTTTAAACAATATTATTGAAAATCTGATCATCTTGAGAAAACATCTTAAGGGTTAAGACTTTAATAGATGTCCTTGAGCAGCAGTCCAGACAGTAAGCAGACAGTATTAGGTCACAAGTGCAGGCACAAATCAGATGCAACGTCTGCTTACTGCACTGCCCTAGGAGAAGGTCATTTTATTAACACCACGTTTAAAGGTACAGGAGAGATTCAACTGTCAGCATAGCGCCAGCATAGACACGTTTGCACGTAAACTTGAAATACCATTTATATTGTACTGCATGGTTTAGTAAAAACAGATGGACTAACCTGAACTTTGACTTTGTAATTTTTTGACTGTGAAAAGAGAAGAAGAACAAAAATGTAAAATACAATGACATAAGTATATCAATGATTTATATTAAAACCAGCAAACCTTACCTTTGCAATCATGGCATCTGTGATAAAAATGAGCTATGTGAAGAACTTTAAGCTGTATCAACTCAGCGTACAGACGCTTTAGTAAAGCTATGGCAACAACACTTTTTAAAACTTACCACAGTGTTCCACAGCATGGCGCCTTCTCAATTTCCCCATTCGCGTTCTCTGTATTTACAGACTCCGTCTCGCTAGTTGGCATGCTTGCTGTTGTAAACATAGAACATGGGAATAAACAGGAAAGTCCATACTCTCCAGAGCAAAAACACAACCCCAAAGATCTGTGCATTCAGTTAGAAAAAAAATGAAAACGTTCAAAACATAACATCCAAAAACGCAAATTACATAGTGTGATGTTGGTGATAAAAGAAGAAAACCATGCATTAAAAATAAAAATATCTGTATGCATCTACAACTGAAATTCTGTTAAAGTTCTGAAAGTGTCTTCAAATTCTGAAAGTGTCTTCAAACATGTGCTCTACAAATATTCATATTCTTACATTCCATCCATCCATTATCAGAAAACCACTTATACTTGTTAAGGACCAAGGCAGACAGGACACGTCCATTTCAGGGCGCACACACACGCACATGGGGACAATTTGGAGACACCAATTAACCTAGTCAGCATGTCTTTGGAAGGTGGGAGGAACCCCAGGCCTGCAGAGAAAACCCATGCAGACACGAGCAGGATTTGCAAACCCCACACAGCAGGGACCCCTGCTGAAAAAACACAGGCCCAGGGCTCCAGAAGCAGCAAAGCTACAGTAGCTGCCACGGCAAAACCATACTTTATAGGGGATCCCATTTCTATCTCGCTGACCACAGAGGCCATTAGATGCCTCATCATTACACAACCCCGCAATTCTGAATTTGTTTTCATTCATTGCAGGTAGTGGAGGGAAAATAAGTGATACCACAAAGGCAAAAAGAGCACTTTCCAAAATCATACTGAAGTCTGGAAGCTTAGCATGCACAGTGAGGAATCTTAAGGCCTATAGTGGTCGATTTGAAAAGGTTACGATCTAAATTCATCTACTGTAACTTAGATCCTTTGTGTTCTGAGTTAATTCTTGGTTAGACATCTGGGTAATACTTTAAAATGAGAGCCCGTTTGTGATTAATTATTGAGAAATAGAGAGAGTCATGTGACTCACAATACAGAGCCCATAAATACATCATGACATAAAACACATTTCATATTAATTTCAAAGCAAATCATCTAGTTCTTCACATGTAATTATATTAAAAGTAAGGACTCTTATTCCAAAGTATTACTGAAATCTGTGCATAAGGTTTTTAATCCTGTTTATACACTTCAACAGGTAACACAAGTTGCAATCAACACTTTTGTTTGAGATCTGTAGTTAGAATTTAAGCTCTTGTAAGACATAACATTCTGTCACTGGTACAGCATGATTAATACAGAACTTGAATCTTTTAAGATATAGTAGACAGTGCAATTAGTAGGGTTTTTCTTAATTCATCATTCATTAGCCGAGCATGGTGTTAACTACAGTGATGAAGATTCTAAAGTACACATAGAAATGAATGAATACCACTTTGATTAGGAAGTTTTAAAACAAATTATTTTTCATTTTTGTGATTTAGTTAGATCTGGGTTCTGATAACTCTTTTTTGATGCCAATTTCTCCATTTGATTAGATCCTATAGATTGTGTAAGAGGATAATTTCACCTCAAACTGGGCTTTATTCTATTTCTTTGTCTCTCACGCCATCAAGAGGGAACACAAAATGGAACATTCTTTACTAGAGTCTCTTACTCAATCTTTCTTCTAATCAAAACACAAAAATCATTTCAGCAGTGCAATATTAAAGTCCAACAGGAACAATCAAAATCAGGTAGGCAATGGTGCTTAAACTTTAAAGTGGAAGCATGCATTGTGTGGAAATCGTAGTAGCAAAAGACAGGCGGGATTCACACAACACAGAAGGATGCTACAGGGCAACACAAAATTTACCATGAGTGTCAGTAGATTGACTGAACCAGCCAAACCTTCCTTTCTTCTTTTCCATTAAGTCAGCAAGGGTAACCCCTTCACGTTAAATGCATGCAATTCCATGCATTCAGACAGCAGATGGGAGCATCGATATAGCAGGAAACAATGGACAAAAATGAGCAACTATGAACATGGGTTAGGAAGACAAGCAACACCGAGCAATAAAAGAAGGCAAATAACTAACAGTCACGTTAACTACTTCTAGCAGGTTTATGCTAACATGCTGCAAAGCAAATTATAGCGTCCACATGAACAGGTTAGTAGTGTCAGTACCGTTGCAAACACACAGACACCCAAGCCACATGTTATTTGTTTGCACTGTAAAAAATAAAGCTCAGATATTTTACCCTCAGTTTAGCAGCTCAGGTTACACCTGAAAAGCTATCTAGAACTCAGTTTTCTAGGAAACGAAATGCTGCTAATTCTTCCAAAACTTCTCAGAATAACAGTCCAGCCCTCTAAACACAGAAATGCGTCTCTGCCCAATTCTCAGAATAACAGTCCAGCCCTCTAAGCACAGAAATGTGTCTCTGCCCAATTCTCAGAATAACAGTCACGCCCTCTAAGCATAGAAATGTGTCTCTGACTAGTCTTGGGTTATGCAATGCTACAATTCACACTGCATGACAAAGTTACATTTGATTTAAACAAAAACAGTTTAAATGTTGTTCTAATCTACACAAATACAGTGTATTTGTTTAAATGATATTGATATACAAATATTTAGTCACCTGAGTATAATTAAATATAAAAGATGCCCTTGATATACAGGTATTTAATGGAAAACTAAAATAATGGTCTGTGAGGCTCAAAAATCAAAGACATTAAGTGTGTATCGTCAACCCATTGCTCAAGTGCAACCTAGACAAATCTGAGACTGATTAAAGTTAATGCATTCTAAAGAAGCTTTTGACTCCCAAATCATTATTCATCCAGCATAATTAAACTAGATGAATCAAAGCTGTTTCAGAAATCTAAATCTAAATCAGGTGTTTTTTTCTGAAGTTCCAAAGTGACTTTAGAGTTTGTATTGCTGTTAGAACATCATACCAATCATGAGATTGAGTGTGACTAAGTGTGGACATCCTTGTCCTTGAAATCTCAGCGTCGACTCCTGGAAGTGTGCCAAAGGCCTATGAATCACCGTTCAACTATTACACAGCACACAGATCTTCGAGAACGGCCTTCCTGCAAAGTGGCAATGGACGAATGTTTTGCTTCTCATATGCCAAATGTTGCAGGACCTTGTCTGCACATCTTTGTTTTCAAAATGAGATCTTGGAGAAGCACTCTCTCTCACCCGGCGCTTCTCGGTTACCTTTACAAAGTATATCACGTGTGATCAGAAGAGCATGAAAGCCTTGAATTTTGTCATGGTTTACATCTACTTCTTGGAACCCGTACTGAATTGTATCGCACAGGCATTAGAATATATCTTTTTTTTTTCAGGCGTGAAGGGATTAAAGGCTATAATGGTAAATATTAGTCAAAAGTCAACTTTTGATGGCACAGGATAGGTGCAAATACTGTAAGCTTGGTTCAAGAACACTAACACTACAAATTAGTTTTGAAGAAACTTCAGTGATGACTTTTTGCAATATAATATAGTATTGTTTACATGATTATGGTCTGCCTAAATAGTATGGTATTTGGAATACCTGAACAGAACAGAGACAGCAAGCTGGCAAAGGTAAATCGACTGATCAAGTTAGCAAATAATTTAACAATTCAGAAATAGGCTTTTTATTGATTTTTAATCTTTAAATCCCTCTCAAGTACAGTAGCTTTCTGCATTTCTGTTAAATAGACTACTTTTCATAATTCATGTCCTAATTGTCATAATTCATGTCACATAAAGTAGTAGAAAATGAGAATCACACTTGGTATGATTAATACATTGTAAAACAAGACAAATGGAAAACTATTTTTCAATTGTTCTTTTAAATCAGATTAATGTCTTTTTATGTTTCACATCCTCTTTCCTGTAAGTCAAGCCCTGTCCTCAAAACATGAGTCATGATCTTGACTTCTTCTCAAATAAACGTCTTATAGGTAAGAAATGTTGCACTTCACTTAAATTTTAGAATAGAATATTATTGCTCATCAGTACATGATATACAGACATACAAACTTAAGAATACATGTTTGAAGCACTATATCTCCCTTGTGAATTATGCATTGTATTATTTTTGTGCTACTGGAAACTGAAGACGAAATTCAGTATTCTCCATTAAACCATAACATTTATTTTCTTTTTTGTGGAATGGTACAATATGGTTCAGAGCTACATTGCTTCATTAAAGATCAGATGTATATGCTACACTACACAGCCAAATAACCATAGCTGTTAACTCATTATCCTAATGTACATATATAAACATATTTATTACATGACACACACAGTTGTGTCACTAAAGCCTGGAAATTTCACCTAAGAGCTAATGTGTACTGACTTTCCAAACCAGCAGTTTTCAGATAGGATAAAGAGTCAATAATGCTTTTAAAGTTTTGCCAACAACTATCTGACAGAATGAAAAGATTATGTCATATGGAACTGCAAAACTATATAGTGAACACCTGTTTGCTTCAAACAGGAATAATTAAAAGCATATAATATACTGACTGGTATGAGCGTATCATTGCTAAATGATCTGCTTATTCCAGTAAATTACAGGAATATTTCTGATTTTATTAATGGAAAGCACACTTGCTTGGAATAATATTGCCCTTTGTCATTTCACTTCAGGCATTTTTAGCTTAAATCAAGATACCAGTCTTGGTTTCCGAATCAGATGACACACTCATGAAATGTTGATGGAGTAGTGCATACCTGTTGCTCACCCTAATTACAGTACAGATTTCATCAATTACATATCATGAAATATTGTGATTTTCAGTTGCACTTTCCTACTGGCCATGGCAATGAAGCCTTCCACTAAAAACAGCTGTTGAAAAAGAGTTCCCTAACCTGCATGGCAGAAGAGTAAAAGCTCACCCTGTGGTCCATGTGGGTCCTAATGCCCCCAGTATAGCGACAGGGACAATATACTGTAAACAGGCGCCATCCTTCGGATGAGACGTAAAACCGAGGTCATTATAAATCCCAGGGTGTTTCTCGAAAAGAGTAGGGGTGTAACCCCGGCGTCCTGACCAAATTTCCCATTGGCCCTTACCAATCATGGCCTCCTAATAATTCCCATCTACGAACTGGCTTCATCACTCTGCTCTCCTCCCCACTGATCGCTGATGTGTGGTGAGCGTTCTGGCGCACTATGGCTGCCGTCGCATCATCCAGGTAGATGCTGCATATTGGTGGTGGTGGAGGGGAGTCCCCATTATCTTTAAAGTGCTTTGAGTGGAGTATCCAGAAAAGGGCTATATAAGTGTAAGCAATTATTATTATTATAACCCTTCTAAAAGAAATATAGACGCATTATTCACGAACAGAAATAACCGCCAAAAAGGGTAAACCACTTTAAAGTCCCAGATTTCAATCCATGATAGTTTCAACTGTGTGGAAGACTAAATATCTTTCCCTGTGTACAGTGTAAGTAAGAACCAATGAACAACAATTACTATAAGGTACAAAAGAAAAAGCAGATGAATTCGGTAAACTACCCCTTTTACTTTTTCCTGTTACAAATACAGCTTCCTTACTTTTAAGTTCCTATGAACTGACCACAGCCATAATACATCCTTAATTGAAAAAAGACCTCTGGCTGCTGTGAATTCAGGGGTGGCTGGGTAACAAACCTACCTTCAAATTCTGAAGATACTGTATATTGTCAACCGCTCCAATATGAAATTCAACACTATATCAGTACGACTGGGAAGCTTGAGCATAATATTTTTATAAAATGGGATCAACTGTGTTCTTTTTATTCTTGGTAAAAAAAAACACTTTAGACAGTTTTACATTTTTTACATAGGGAAAAAAGTGATTTGGTATCTACTACAGTACCATTTTGATGCAGCTAAGTGATGTCAATTCAAACTTATTCTCAAGTAGTCAGTCTTACATAATGTAACACAGATCAATTTCACACATTCAATTGTTTAAAATATATGTGGATACCCACACACCCTTGAATAAGAAGCAAATTATGTTACAAAAACTATGGGGATCAAAGGAACATGCAGTTTCTATGACAGCCAGTAAATACATTCCTGAGCCAATGCAAAATATGGTAGGTGTTAAGTTAATGTAATTGGAAACATGCAATCACTCTAAAATTCCCATATAGTAATTCGGTACAGTATACCTGGACCTAGTGTTGAGCTTTTTGTGAGGAAAAAAAAGAAAATTCCAAAAAACAGTTAAAACACGTTGACCAAAATACCATCTGTTCCCTAGAAGCAATTACATTTTACTGAAACACAGAGGTTAGAAACTGTACCATAACAGGACATTTCAAGAAATTATAGGCACATTTAAAAAGAAAATTAACTGCAATGTGTATTCTTCATTTATGGAAAAATAATTTACGTCATAATCCCTTCACTACTAACATCCTGCTTTTAGCAACTTCCTTAAACAAATACACAAGAATGATGTATTTTCCCATGCAAAATTTGATAAAGAGAGGAATATAACAAGTATCACAGGATGCTGATTAGGGATATATAACTCTATTTAAAAATTATCCAAAAGAAGATGATTTCTATATGACATTCTCTGTGTGGACAATAAACACTTCTTCTTATCTAGAAGAAACCTAAAAGGATATTTAACTTGATGCTTGCATGAATAGTATCATTAAAAGTAAATACTGGATAACATATGGATTTATATCAATTATAACACTCTAAACATTGATTGGAATTATTTTTCCGAGAGACCACAAGCATTCTGTACAGGCTAGTACAACCTTTACTTAAGAGGGTGAGTTATCTAAGGCACCTGAGATTAACACCAAGTTCGAACGCCTAGCCTACTAAAGTCAATGGAACGACCTAACGACATAATGCTTCTAAGGACCATTTTAAAATTTAATTTTTTAATCTTTTTAATCCTCTCTTAGCCCCACATAACAATGACTTACTACTGCAATTAACTCCTAACAACCTTTTGGGATATGTGGGTTAAATGACCTTCTCTCGCTTGTATCTTCTTTTGTTCTTACTTTGTAACAGTGGTCATCACACTTTATCTTGGAGAAACACATTATCTTATGGTTAATGACTTATTCGAATGATATATTGACTTGACTGGTCTTAATTATCCATTTCAGAGCCTTAACAAAGACCAGGAGAGAGGATCGGTCACCATTGCACAATGTTTTTTTTTTTAGGATGTCATTCTGTGGTCTGCTGATTTCCCCTTGGGGTGCACTGGGGTGAAGTGTAACTAATGAAGTGGATTCTTTTTTCTAGGAAAAGTTCAACCCTTGATTCTAAGTATTCTTATTAAAAATCTGAAGTTGAGATTCTGAGTCCAACGTGTTGTAGACCACCGACACGATCACTTGGAGCTTTTATGAAAGGAGTTGAATGCCACTGACCAATCTATCAAAACGTATCACATCAACTGCACGTGTGCACTCCAAGGTAAAAACACTTCCAGTTCTTTCGTTTTTTTTCTGAACCATAAACTTCACACTGGGCAGGCTGTGGAAATGTTCACCCTCTGTGGGCACTTACGGTTCCGTTTGCCTTCCCCGTCCCCGTCTTCTTCGTTCTCCGGGTCGATGTCCTCGGCCTGGGTGATCCAGTCCAAGTACCCCTTCAAGTCCTCCTCCAGCTGCTGCTTCTCTCGCAGTTTCTGGAAATCTCCGCGGGCCTTGGCTTTCTCCCTCTCCTTCGAGAACTCCCTGTGCAGGACAGAGAGCCACAGGACACGTTTACCGGCGGCATTTCTCAGGACAGCGTGGAAAAGTGTGAACAATGTAACCCCCTCCTCAAAAAATATATCGGTCATTTCCCAAGCTGTTTTCACCCTGAACGAAGTTTGCTCCAAGTCTTTTCAAACAATCCCCATCTTAGTCAAACGTTTGGTCTTCCATACAGTACCTTATTCTGTATTTTATGAGTGACTCTGGGAACATTGGAAAAGTCATTAAGTCTTGCAATTAAACAGCAGATTGGTCATTCTTCCTTGTTTATTGCTGATCCAAACTTTGAAAATATTGTTTTCAGAAATGTTTCAATGCTATCTGGGGGCTACAATTACTGTATTCACAAAAACATTCAAATAAGTAGTGAAATAATGAACATGAAAAGATTTATCCAAACATGTACAGTATTCATGATCTGGGCTGGATGACATCACCAGACAATTACATAAAAAAAAACAGTTGAAATGAGGACCTTACCTCTAGATGGGGCTCATGTTAAAAAAATAATGTACTAAGACAATATTACATATGTGTTCGCCATATGTGTAGGCCAAATACTTTTCATACAAACAAATCAACACATTAAAACTACTAATTTCTATGATTTAAAAAAATATTTGGCAATACAGGTATACAGTAATAACACTCAAAATACAAACGGCACTTTAACCCAGAGAGAAAGAGAAACCTTAAGATAGGGAAATTTTTACATGACAAGCTGTGGTGTCTCTATAGATGGCAGTGTCTCAAAATGTTCTTATTCCATAGGAATCAAAATATGATACACTTAGGACAGGTAGTGTATCTTACATGCCAAAAACACCACTTACAGGCCACACTTTTAACAGTCATGATAGATCCAACAGAAGACTGATGTATTTACAGCTACAGGGAAGAAATGACTGAGCACTTGTAAAAGTATTAATATCTATACTGTATGTAGCACAGAACAGCAGATAGCTATTTTCTTTTATCTGTGTCTGCGGAGTTTGACAGAGACGTTTCGAAAATAAAAGACACTGTTCCGTCTTATCCCATTTCCATAGAATGATTGTTGTTTTATCTTGGTCACCAAGAGAATACAAAAAGGTTAAAAAACTACGGGTTATGATGCATTTAACAGGGACCATTTCATTAATTCACCATGAAACAGGAAGGTCAATAATGATATGAAAGCTCTGAAGAGCCTCTCGGAGCATGCAGAGAGTTAAAAAGCACAGCATGTCACACTAAGCACACTGCCACACCGGCTGCTTACCCACTAAGTACACCCAGAACAAGGTTAAGTACAAAAAATGAGCCAAGTATGATTAGACTAACAAAATAGATCCAAGGTGTTTCCCATCCAATGGCATCATTGACCTGTAAAAACCCAAAGGAACTTATTAACAAAGTGATGAGGATGCAGAGTCCCTCAGTCAGCTGTACTGTCACACCGGCGTTATCTGTGTGGGGGGCACATTGGTTTGACAGGAAATTCTTCATTATAACAGAGACGTCCCCAGAAATAGGGTCAAAAAACCATTTGTGCATTCCTAGTGTATTCTGTTTAATGGGAAAGACAAACATTTGAAAAGTGTGATCATCCCAGGCATAAGATTCAAAGGTTTCTTTGGTTTTTTAAATTTTACTGTCATTTCTTTCTAAAGCTTACATAAAACATCAAAACATTTGCTCAGAATTTCATGAGAATTCAGATCCTGGTATATATATATTTAATGGTCTTTGGCATATTTGCTATATTGGATTACAATTGGCCCCGTCATTGTACAATTTCAATTTTTAAAATCCATTCTTTACCTTGCTGTTCTGGAAATGTTTGGAAGCTGTAAAGTTGACAGCAGCTTCTAGTTTAAAATGTTTTAATGTGTGTTGAAAGCTAGCTTATCATTTGAAATAATATCGCATATAGAGTGACCGCTAAAGACCAACCTGCCTGATACTTTAAAGCACAAGTGTGACTACTGACAACTGGAAAACAGGAAACCCTGTCAAAAGCCATGATGAATCATGATAGAAACTGCCGGTGGGACAGAGAGTTGAGCAAGGAACTCTGCCAAGGAAAACTAAGGAACAACTGCTTACCCGCTCAGCACACCAAGAACAAGGTTTAGAACGAAAAAGGATCCGAAGATGACGAGACTGACAAAATAAACCCATGGTAACTCAAAGCCCATGGCATCATTCATCTGCAAAGAAACCACACAGCGAAAAGCCAGAATTCAAAGATTTCAGAAACACACAGTCTAAGCAATCTTCCACACGTCATAATAGAAGCAGGCCATCAATGTACTTCTGATTTGTTTATTTTCTTTCCCAGTTGGAAATCTCATAACTTCAACAAAGTGCTCAATTTTCAGGTGTCTCTCCACTCTGCTTAATTCTAGTACCTAATCATATACAGTATATTGCTCATCATGGATGTAATGTTTAAGTCAAGATTTCATCATGGTATACGGCATCTGCTTTGCACGTTCTCAGTATCCACTTGATCTAATCACTGCAAACGACTGCTTTCACTTTGCTTTTCATTTATATTGTTTTCCAGAACTCCCCAAATCATACTAGAGTTAGTCTTTTCTAGAATTTATTCTATCACTGTGTACCACAGCATGCTCTTATAAGAATGTTTGGTGTATTTACACAATCAGACATCTGAGGCTTCCCCCTAAAATGAACACACACAGAACATAAATGAAGACATGACTGGGCCATGACTATTGTACCAGTGGTTCAATGTGCCATTAAGGAGACTTGTTAACATTCACACGTAGTTCTGACACATTCGTGAAGTGCAATATATATTTTTCCTCAAATTTTTTAAATGTATATTGTGTTTTATGGTTTTATGTATGTGTCTATGTATAAATGGTAGGTCTGTATGTACTGTATATAGTGTATGAGCAACTCACCAAGTCAAATTCCTTGTAAGTGAAAACTTACTTGGCCAATGAAGTGATCTATCTATCTCTCCATCTTTGTCCAAAAATATTATGAACTACAGAGATGATTTGGTGTTGGAGTTTTAATTCAATCACAATCATGGCTGTTTTGTGTTAAGCCCTACTTTACTGTTTTACTTTACAAGTCCGTGTTTGAACAGCACGAACCAAAATGTTCCGTTCCGGAGACTTAACGAGAGGCTGACTGTAGGTTTGGAAGTCTCCGCCACTCAGCTCCAGTACATCTGGAAAGTGAAGAAACCTGGCTAGTACTGTAGCCCGAAGTGGTTTTGGGGGGATTTTGATTCGTTTTCTCTCGCTATGGCGGCCTGTCACGGCAAACTCAGACACAGCTCACGCAGAGGAGGAAGACCCTGGGGCCACAGGGTGGAAAGGTGCATCTTACCCAGTACAATACCTCGGTCCAGCCTTCCATAGTGATGCACTGAAACACCGTCAGCATGGCAAAGGCAAAGTTGTCGAAGTTGGTGATGCCGCCATTCGGACCGTTCCACCCTTCTTTGCATACAGTACCGTTGATGGGGCACTGGCGCCCATGCCCTGAGATCGCACACGGTGCTGGTTCTTCTTCAGCTATTACATCTGGAGGGGAAAGGGGGTGATTTGCAGAGGGAAAATGGGGTGAAACCAGAGAAAGGTTAAAACGGCGTCGCATTCACCTCAACCCACTAAAAAATAAGACCACAAGACAAATCTATTTAATCTCTTTACTATCGGCCAGACTCCCATTCAATCCTTAACTATATACAGCAGGTCAGGAATCATGAACCATAACTCTACAAAAGTAAAGCAAAGTCCAAACTGTTTTTTTTTTTTTAATTTACAGTCAAAAAACTTCTACTGGTGACTTTTAATTCAGGTGAATGCACCACACCCCAATATTACGGTTGGCATGTTCTTGTTCTAATCTGAGAAAACATCTGCCCCGAGTAATCCAGAAATGAAACATATATCATACGCATCATTCATATTAGTCTTATCACCACGAATACTAATTGCTTGAACTAAAATAACAGCTTTCACCTTGCATACATTTGGAGGGTACTGCAGGTTTTCCTTCACAACTCATTCTCATTGTTATTTCCTGCTGCATCAAACATGAAGGTTAAGCATGGGTTTGTCAAAGTGTTTTACCTTTTTAAAAACCTTTTTTAAAAAAAAGGCAAGTCAAAATGTAGGTCAGCGCTGAGCCCTGCATCTAAAACCCACTATATATTTAAAATTATCCTGATGAGAAACATCCGCTCACCAATTATTCTAAAGCACTTGAAAAACAGTCCAGAGATTATGCCTTCACTGTGAAAGAGAACTGCAAGAGATTATGTCGTCTCCATAGATACTGAGGACTAGTTTGCTTGTGCTGAAGCTATCCCTTCTTTCCATGCAGTTCTATACTCAACTCAAAATGGAAGTGACATGCCCATTATACAGACAATAATGCAGCAGAGCAGGATGTGCAATATCTTAAACCCTTTACGAATCTATGCCCTACCTAGAACTTCTGACTTCAAGGGATGGCTGATATTATTTCTCGCTAAAACTTCCTATCATGCAAACTCATATAAGTCCATCTCTAATGCAGATCTCATCTGTGTTTCACTGGATTCTGGGTTCCGACACATTCTGTACAGTGGTCATTAAAACGGTTCCCATCTACCCCAGTTGCATTCACTAATCATGGATATTTTGATAGATTTTTATCCATTTGAAAGCATGATAACAAAAAAGAATGGGGAAAATGCAGAACAATGTCAAATCAATTTAAAATTTAGAATCAAAGCCTTGTCATCAAACTGTCTTTCTCACATACAGTTTTACAAATCTATACTCAATGGGGTTAAAAAGGCCAACAAATGGGTGGTTAAGGCATTCGCTCAGACACGGGTTGACCTGCATGATACAGATGTTGCGGGTTCAACCCTGGCTAGTATCAGTAACTGGCTATGACCAGGATTCCTCAGATGAGGGGGTACAATTGGCTAAACGTCACGGAGAGTAAGGTGGGATTTGTCAGCCAGAACTGTGTTTTGGCTCTCTGCAAACACAGTGCCCCCAAGCAGGCTGCTGGCACACCTCCTCGAACTAGGGCTTAACCTCTGCAGTGTGGGGCAGATGTGCCTGTGATGGGTTAAAAGTCGAGAGACTTTGTGGATCGGAGGGGTCTGCTTCCACTCCCCCATTCTCCCCTGTGTGCAGATACAGACTTCATAGCTGTTAGCCGGGCTGTGAAAAACACACAGCTGGCGATTCCAAAATCAGGTGGGTAATACAAAACGAAGATTAATGGATTCAAAAGTTAAAAAGCAATCCAATGAGTAATGGAATCAACAGTTTCTCATGCCACTCAGTATATAAAATATTCATTGACTAAGGTTAGGGAAATGTTCCTGCCAAAAAAGAGGTAAAAGCTTCATATTGTAACAAATACTGTACAGTATGTGAAAAGGGCAAACTGAAAATTCAAGACTGTAGCGTCAAATACTATGAGATACATTCTTGTAGATACATGGGGAGATAAAAACTGTTTTGCTAAAAGGGCACACTTACCTGTGCCAGCAAAATAACATGTTGTGTGCATTTTTCCAATAAAGAGCTCCAGTCCTATAATAGCATAGATTATGATCACAAATAAAACCAACAGCGCGATGTGGAGAAGGGGGACCATGGCTTTTATAATGGAATTCAAAACTACTTGTAAACCTAAAAGACAAAAAAATAGGAACAGTTAAAAAGCATACATTTAGCTGCATGAGAATAACATACTATTTTCAAAATAAAAACGGTGCTTGCAGCAAAACGGCACAAATCTAAAAGTTTTTAATCATACAGTGTATAAGAAATTCTGTTAATGCTTTTCAAAAGAAGATCATATCATGAACAATTTAACCTTGTCTAAAATATACACAGTTAGGTGAAAAAAGTAATTAAATTGTTAAGTCAAGAATAAAAAAACTGACAGAAACAACAGGCACTCTTCATTGATCCATTCAACAGGCATCTGTCAAAATACTACATACTATATATTCATAAACGGTCACACTACCACATACTGTAGGATACATACAGAACATACATAGAACACGTACTGTACTGTAAACCCGACATACGTTACAAAATTATATCAAGTGCTTAAAGACTGGTTTCATCCCATTCCTGAAACTGGGAATTCAAATTGCAGCCTCATTACTTCAAGCCACCAGGTCACTAGTTCAAAAGGGTGCCTAAGGAAAGCTCAGACATACAGACCATCTCCATATATCATGCTCAGTGCATGACGTGCAGGAGGAAGCAGGCAGCAAGACAATGCGCCCTTGCGATGAGACATCCCATCTTCTTCACAACCCTCACACATCTGCCCCGGCTCTCACTGATAAGCATCACAGGAGTGGGCCTGTTGTGTCCTATACAAAACGTCTGCCCCCAGCTCCCTAACCCTGGACAGCGTCTCTTGCCATTTCAATTCACGTTTGAGGATCTATGATCCAGGAAGGGAGTTATTTTCATTTACATTATTGGGATGCCCATTACATCCTTTTGGCTTGTTATGGGGTTGCATAGTTTTTTGGGGGCTAGAACAGATTTTTGGGGTCTGTAGGACGAAGGCATCCATCAAGAATAGATTGACTGTTGTGTAACATAGTATATTGTGTGGTTTTATTGTGAATAAATATTTCTCCAAATCTGACCCCAATTAGTTACTCAGCAGAGCTGCTCCAGAGAATATAAAAAAAGAATACCATTTCTCAGTTGTCTCACATTTTCCCGAATGCTCTGGTAATTTCTTGAACCCAACAGTTTGTAAAAAATACAGTATATATCAACATACAGAAACATGCAACTGTATGACCACATCCACATCTAGAGTTATTGCAGTGTTTAACATACCACCCTTAAGGCACTGACAAAAATAGCCCTTGCCTAGCAGATAATGCTACAGGCTTCTGTACTCTACATGTGCTGAAGTGCATTCTGTTGTTAATGGCCCTGTAGAAAGAGCAGTTACTAAATGGCACTTCTTAAATTTTCTTTGTTAGGCGAAAAAAAGACAACCCCAAATTTTACTTAAGGATAAAATTGATAAAATGTTGACAGAAGCACGTGTCTGTAAATATGAAGACGGAGAACAGTAATCTTGAAGTAAAAAGGCTGTAATAGAGGATGTTCAAAACTGAGCTCCCTTATTCAGGGATACCTCTTGAATAAGAAATATATTTTGAAATGGTATGTACGCTCGTTCTCATTCGGCAGGTTCGCAAATTTTATCCAGCTTTTTGGGCTCCACTTTTTCATCGGAGTAGACTTGCCGGAAGCCAGCAGGTCTGGAAAGGAAGTGGGGGTACTTACTGGGCACTCCCGATACAAGTCGGAGAGGACGCAGCACTCGGAAGGCTCGTAGGGCTTTAACATCAAAGCCACCTGGCTTCCCACCAGACTGGTGACTGCTTGCATCTCCCTCTTTGGTTAATAGTTCCAAGACAACACTAAATAACCTGAAACAGGCAGAACAAGACAGCTCACAGCAGGGTGAAAGTCAGAACACTGCGTTCACAATACAAAACAAATAATCTAATCTATCAAACCAGCCACTGTCTGAAGTGTCTAATTTATTGACTGAATCTCTCAAAAGGGGAACGACGTTGTACTTTACATGTTGTTGACCAAAACACGATACCACTAAGACTATCGTCTTAGACCTGGCTTCCATAGTCTTGAGAAACTTTTCTCTTCTCGGGTAATAACCACATGGTTTATCGTCAACACTGCCACTGGATTTTTTATTAATCTACTGAGTCTTACCAAATTCATAGGAATAATCTTTTACTTTGTCTGATTTATAGAAAATAACTGAAGAGATTTTTATACCACAAATGTTGATGCCTATTTATACTGCAGGATTTGGTGGAGAAATATGTGCAAAGTCATTTTAACAAGCATACAGCAGGTGTCCCCACCTGGGATCTAAACCCATGATCCTCAGTGGTCGTGAGTCGAAAACTCACTGTGCTATCGAGCTGGTTGATATTCTCTAGCCTAATTAACCCACATCTAATCCAACTTGCCCAATTTTATTTTGTTCTGTGCTGATGTAGTGGTGATTCACATAGCATGTTGCATTCAGACAGAGGGACTGACCTAGCTATGCAGTGGACTGTGTGAATATTAAAGGGGAGAGAGTCTGACTCACTCTTCTTGTGCCTTTGCTAATCTACTGCTACTGGAAAAGCACAATTTATTTCAGTTGCCTTTTCTAGGCCATAGCTTTATACAAAATTCTGTTTAATCTTGGCGTTTGCTCTTCAGGTTGCTAAATCTATATATTTGCTTCACAGGAGCAGGTGTGTTAAAAGATAAACTACACATTTGCTGCACCTTGGCATGATACCAGGCTCCACTGATTCAGAACAAGAACAAGCCCAGTGTGAAACAGGAATAACAAAGCAAGAGTCCATATGTGAAGGTAAACATAAAACAAATAGTTACCAGAATGATGCATAAATCTGCTTTCATTATTATAGCATTCCATCTGTGTGGCTTAGGGTTACAAACAAATTTTCATAAGCTAGATCTCCATCGTGGATCAAAAATCGAGATTCTACAACTTGCTGAAATAATTCAGGTTTTCATCAACATAATGCCCTTAGGTTCAATGCTGAGCAAAATGAAATGATTACATTTAACATAGCAGTGATGAGAAATATTGCTTTTAAAGTTAAGCCATTAGGTGTACACATTTCCTAGGAAGTTATACAGGTATGGAGGTTTTAGAAACATGGACGTAGACATTTAGGCTACATAATATATACTGACAGGCAACAAGACTAATACAGATTTGTTGCATGTATTGCCTTTATATAACAGACCTAATACTCAGGACTCACTTTTCATACTTTTAATGAGTTTTAGATTTTTTATAACTACAAACCCCAGACTTTTGACCACTTTTGGTAAACTGATTGAAATTTCTAATCAGCATGAATCAAATAATATACTTGAAAAGTATCACTTAATCTAGAAAATTCAGATATACGTCATCACTCCCTTGTGTAGAAGTTAAAGTTTAAAATTGCCTATGGGACACATACAGTATTACTCATCTAACTGAATCTTCAAATAACTATGGAATGTATAGTATGTTTTACAATCATGCTTATGTGATTTTTGGTTTGAATACTGAAGATCTATCTGGGTGTGAATTTTGGTTGCTCTACCATACAAGTTAACTTTTAAAAGCACGGTGCCTTCTTCAGAATTCAAATGGGGCCTTTTCACCACCTGGGCATAGTCATATCTCTGGGACAATAATGACTGACCCATCAAATTTCAGATTTATAATTGCTAACTTGTCATTTTTTATCCAAATATGAGTGAGATACATGGTGACATTTTCAAAAATGTTTGGTTGTTTTGACACTGAATGACCCTTTTACTTTTATAGTATATGTTCCTATTCAAATTCTTTTAAATAGGTCCTCTTCTGAATTATTGTTATAGCTCATCAAAACACAATTCTGCATAACAAAGCCAGAACAGAGGCACAATATACGGATGGATACAAACTAGCCAGTCATTTCAAGTACATAATTCAAAGAAAAACTCAAAGCACAACATATAATAACGTTTTTCCTTAATCTAACCTGGTTAGCAACACTATAAATTCTGTATATTTATACAAGAAGGAAACAAACACTTTCATTACATCACTTTAAGCTGTAGCTGTGGAAACTTGTTATGTGTAGTGTAAAACAAACATCTTTATTCCACATTTCTACACACTTACTATTTTGCAAAAACCTCCATATTTTAGAAACTAAGCATTTTTTGGTGATATGAGATGTTGTCTTTTCTACCCTGTGGCAAAAGCAACACAAAGTGGAGAATGCTAATTTATTTTCTTAGCCTGTAACTAGTCAGGTCTCCAAAAACCAAATGCCTCCTACTAGTGTGATAAGTTGTCTGCAACATCATCATTCTGTTGGTAACACCACAGAAATCAGATCTTATTTGTCCACTGACTGGATTTGCAATGGTTGAAACCAATAAGTTTTGATTCCCAAAACAATTTAAAAAGCTGTACTTAAATGCTTTCTAATTTTATGAAAGAAAAAAACTTAATTCTCATTCCTCACTTTACCAGAGCTATCTAAATCAGAAATAAGAATACTCCCTCAAGCAATTTCCAGTATAGCAGCATATAATATTCTAGAAAAAGTGTAAATAGTCTTTCATTTCTCGTCTTATACAGAATACAGACAATTGGCTTTGTTTTCAGTGAATAATTTAAGAAACAAATAAGTCAAACACAATAATAATGACACTTTTCACAAAGTCAAACTGGAAAAAAGCAAGTTGATAACAATGAGTTCTGTAAAGTGTCACTATAATTACATTATAATAAAAAAATAAAATCTGTAATGAGCCCTCGTTTCTTGGTTCTCTGGATCAGATTAAGATTTCACTCTGTACATTGAAACTGAAGCACGTGATTTATATTAAGTGTTGTGTCTTGGCGTTACTCTTTGTGGGCTCTAAACATGATAATAAACAAAGACATATGGAAGATATTAGACTGCACACTTACCCTACCACTACGATTACAAAATCCAACATGTTCCATCCATTTCTCACATACGCATTCTGGTGCATCACTAATCCATATGCTATAATCTTCAAAAATGTTTCAATTGTAAAAATGATAAGGAAGGCATATTCTACTGTTTCCTGAAAGACAAAAGGGAAAACGCAGCATTACATAAGACATGCACTGATAAATGTATTCAAAACAAATATGTTTACATAAAAAGCATTAAATAATAACATTTGTATAATGTAACATAACCAGCATGGTTCTAAATTGTTTTTATAAGGTGTTTTCTACAAAAAAATCCTTTTTCCTTTTTCTACAAAAAAATCAGAATTTAAATTTTGTAACATTTAATTTTTTTAGATCACCACATTCTGAAACATGTGGTGACACAAGCACAGACACTGTTACCAGCAATCAAAGGGTTTTCAAGGGGAGCCTGAAAATGTGCACATTATTAAGAAAAAAAATCATGTTTAATACTTAATCCTGAGGAAAAAAAACAGGAATGCTAAAAATGTAAATGGAAGTGAAAACGCTTTACAAGAGCAATAGTTACAGCCACATAACTTGAATCACAATGAATCAAACCTTTATTACAATGCATAGGACAGTAAGCTAATACCAGAGGTGAATCCGCAAACATTTTTCTTCTTATCCTACTATCTTATCCTAATAGTTTGCTAGTAATGCTAACAGAATCACATAATCAATGCTCAATATAAAAGTTAACATACTGAAAAAAGTCTTTTCATTTGGATAATTAAAGCACAAATACAGCTGTCTTGAATTTTTCCGTTACGTTTGAGCAATAGTATCTATGCTGCTAAAGCCATTCTGATTTTCAATCCCAAATCAGGATTAGCAATGCTTTACGTCTGCTGCCATATTGTCTACCACACTGCAAAAAAAAACATTTCTCGATTACATAATCTGAAATTCAGCGTGTACTGAGGGATGAGCCACTGCAGATGCTGCCAACATATTGTAAAAGATCAATGATGAACACTAAGAACAAACCACAGGAAAAACACAAGAAATTATAAACATCTGTAAAAACCACAAAAATACCAAAACGATGACTCCTTTTGTTTTACAAATTATACACACATGAAATCTGAATGCTTCCCTTAGACCAGAGTCCTGATTTTAAGGTGCCCATTATATCGGAGTACTGGGGACAAATCCACAGCAGTCCAGCAGGCTCAGGATCAAACACCCGACCTGGGACACTATGAGGCAGTATTACACCACTGATATGCTGTCACTTTTAAACAACAACACCTGTATATAACTGAACAGTATATGATGTGATGGTAGCGATACAAACGTAAGGAAGGATTTTGCTCTGTGACTGCAGGGGAGGTGCTGCCAAAAAAGGGAATGAAGATAATCCATTTCAAAATTTCAGATGCTGTAAAAACGTAATTCATCTAATGAGAGACTCACGAGTGCAATGAGTGACAGAACAAGTGAAACACACAGATGAGGAACAAGAGACAGGATTATCCAGAAGGTAAAAACAGCTTCAATTACCGGGATGATGATTAATCCAGTTTAACAATGTAATTATATCCACCCACATCCCTGTGTATACAGTATATGATAACTGGTTGATTATGCATTTAGATTCCTGGACTTTTTAGAATAGTTCTAACCATTCTTACTCAGAACTTGTCTGCAAATCATTTTTAGTCAACGGTCTATGACCTAAGGGTCAAGATAAATTGCATTTCTATTAAGTACAATGAATAATATTACCATACTTCCTACATCTTCCAGCAGTGACCTGCACAGTGTTAAAAGCAGTCCATTCCACCCCAGGGTATTGTTCATTTCACCCTCACTCCCACCAACATAAACCATCATACTACCATGTTTCCCAGTGCATGACCCGTACACCGTGTGAGAACAAGTTAGTGGGAACTCTACCTCATGAGGAAACGGCAAAATCATTCTTTAAATCTCTCCATGTTATTATTACTAACATTTGTTACAATTCTCAATTTAACCATTTAATTATTTTTATTGGACCCCCGTTTGTAGACTTACTGATATGGTAGATAGAAATGGGACAACACATCCTGGCATTTTCCAAAATATCTGCATTTGCCAACATTGATTGGTCTGCTCATTTGACAATTGTTATTAATAAGTAAAGATGGGGGGGGTTTAATGACTCTGGGTTTTCTTCAGCAATTTTATTTTCCATTACAACTTTGTAATATTTGCAAAGAATTTCTCTCCCATTTTTTTTTAGGTATTGGAATTCTGAAACAGTTTGCTTATATAAACCAAACACTTAACTGTGCGTCTCATTCTGCAGTAACTAACGGGGGAAAGTCGAAGTGAATGCACCTATTTTACAACATACTGTAGCTCACTTGCCTGCATGAGGTTTAAGTCAAGGGAAAAAGTTTTATATCCTGGGAAAACAATTTGTCTTTCATAATGCCCTAATGCTCTTATTATTGTTCAACTGAAAACCGAAGGCTATCAAAATATCACTTGCCAAGAAATGGAAGACAATAAATCACAGAAGTGCACAGAAAAAAAGAGAGAATGGCCCCAGCAGGGCTTATCTCCAAAATTTAATCCCGTAATCCTCAGCATATGCTTAGGAGAAACATGACAGATCCTGCCTGGATCAACATATTGGACTCGGAACATCCCAGCTTCAGAAGCACAATCCTGGTTCCGATCTACAACACCACACTAACCTGTAATTTTCTCCAAAGAAAAGACAACAACATGACCATCTACTGTTGAACAGGAAGGAGCACAGTAGGTAAAGCTGCCTGGGTTGGTACTGTACATTTACCTGGGTGACGGCAGAAAAGCCGGAACACCCTTTGTGTATTTCACTGGTTAATCCTGAAAAGAACTAACAAAATTAGCATTGCCTCATGCTTCTGAGCACATTGCCGTAGGTCAACATTAGTATCTGCATGTGTCTTCTAAAATTAGCTTATCCACAATACCCATTATCGCCACTGCTTAGTACCCATGGATCCAGAGGTAAAAAAATGAGGCATTGTTTGCCACACGGTTTTCATTCAGTACACTTGGTTCCATCAGAAACTCTTACTTAGCAGTGCCTTACTGCTCAAGTTATTACCTTGCGCTATTGTACCCACTAGGCAGAGAAAGAAATCAAATGGATTTCTATCACAGGGGATCTCAATCTATTTCTAAGAAGTTAAAGACCCCAGCACAGCCTCCATATTGTTACAGTTGTATTAGCATATCTTATTTTCTTCCTCTGGAGTGCTTATTCCTTATCTACAGTGCTGCATGTGCATGTGTCTGCACTGGGCACTGCTAGCTTAGCTCTCGTCCCACCTGCTACACTTAAATGAAAAACTTCAGATTTGATCAGCTGTCTTCAGTGCTGTATGCAGTAATGTAATGGTATGGCATCCCAGAGTGTATATTCATACGTATGGATTATACTTATCTTTAGGTTTTCAGCTGCTCTCCTGCAGCCAAAAGTTTTCTAACATTAGCTTTGTTAAACTGATAATTGGTGCTTTTTATGAATGATGAATCATTCAACACTGCATGAAAAATTCCCAGTTCAAGCTATGACTATGAAACCTTTTGGTTTTGAAACAGAAAAACACAGGGGTCAAAGGTCACCAACCCAAAGGTTCAACAAGCCTGACTGCGCCCCACCTTACAGTACCCATAAACATTTTAATTTTTAACAGTTAACATATGGCATTATACTATTACATTTAACATGCCTGATAATTCCTCTCAAAATAAATTTACTGTATCTTGCTTGCTGCAGTTTGGCTCAAGAGCACTGACTAAACAGTTGCTACATCAGTTTAACCATAGGCCGAAACAGTATGCAGCCTCTGGTGAAAGGTGGAGATAGTATTTCTAATGTTTTGTTGCACATATTCATTTAAAAGATTTCCACATTCATGTTTTTCTCTTCTGGATAGTCATATGAATAGCCAACAAAAAAGCCAACAATTGCAATGAAATTAATAAAGGTACTTTATGCCAATCTCCAACACTTTATGCTTGAATACTTAAGAGGCTACACTATAAAGGGACACTGGGTTTTGCTGATAAAGAGAATCAAACCCTTTGCTTTTAAGAGAACACAAGAAGGGTTAGAAACGAAAGGCGACCATTCAGCACACATTACCCCCTTGACTGCTGGAAGCTCGCTGATTGCGGTATCTTATTCAGCCACTTTGTGAAGGAAATCTGTTTAAACAACACGCCAAGGAAGTTTGCTCACAATTCTCTGCCTCCAATTCCCAGTTATAAATGCAGCTCCTCTTAATTTCCTTAGCTGACACCACATCCTCGTTTTTATTACTTAATACTTATTTGTTAATAAATCAATCTGAATTTTAAAGACCTTACTCTCAATCCCTTGCAATCTCCCTTATTCACAATTACGTTGATATCCTGTTCCTTTTACCAGTCAAATATGAGATTTTGCTTTGGGACAAGGAATTAATCAAGGTGCTCTTCTTTCATTCTAGGGCAGTAATATCAACTAATATTTAAATTTTTCTATACCGTGAATTAATTTGTTACTGAGATTTAATAACCAGTCTGAGAAATTGGGACTGCATTATTTGTCCTTAAATATTAGAAGAAAAAGAGCTTTGTTTTGAGTTTTTGTATTTTCAAAGAGCAGTTTTGATCTGAAACAATGCCCTTTTCCTGTCTTAAAAACAACACATTGTTCTACTCAAATCAGACAGTGAAATGGTATGGAAGCCTGCCAAAACTGTTACTAACACGAAAAGAAACAAAAGGTAATCTAACTGAATATTTTTCTTTAAAACAACCCCCTATTTTCTTTATAACATCTGTAGCATGGACTTGATTCTGAAGTATGATATCTGTTTACAGGTCTTGTATGTCCATGTTACCTACCACAGTAAAGTGCAAAAAAGACATTTTCTGGACTGAAGATGGATCATACTGCTAAAACATCAACTGCTTTTGCTCAAGTCACTTGTTTTATAGACTTGATAACCAAGATTTTAATGCACCTTTAAATGGGAATATTCTACTCATGCTCAAAAACAACTGCAAAAGGAATTTTGCAATTACTTTCTGCACTGCTGTACCCTTGAATGCTACTGACACTACATGCTGTGTA